GCAAGAGCATGCCATCTCTGCGAAATGCCGACGCCGTCATTTTTTCATCTCTTCTGGTTTACTCAGCATTTTCCCCCTTACATCCTTGACATTGCAGAGCGTTCTTTGTTGCATTTACTCTTTTTCTACACGAAGATTTCCCTTTCGCTCTGACTGTTTAGTTGATATTTAGTAGGTCTCCATATAGCCTCACCACATAAGCTTCTCTCGAATCCCTGACATTCCTCTTTGCTACACGCTTAACGTCTAGTTGTGTTCGGTAGATCTTCTGATCTCATCTTCTGTCACGTATGTAAGCTATTTCCTTATTCTTTACCATAGCCTGCATCAAATCATTCCACCACGACGTTTTTTTTTGTCGATTTTAAGGGTTTTGGACGTCTTGGGGGGATCTTCAGCTATCTCAGTAAATATTGCTCTTCAGAAAGGTCCACAAGTGTTCCGGATCTACCTCTAGCTCCGGTAGGACAGATTCCACGGATCGCCTTTCCGGTGGGATATTCAAGTTCATCACCAAAGACTTATGCTGTATGCAGTCTTCGCTTGGAATGACTTTGTTGTCCTGCGCATACAGTGACCGCCAAAAAGTTGCGGACAAGCCGCCTTCCTTTTTTCATCGCTCATTTTCGGATGGAAAACAAAGATGAAAAAATGTTTGGATTGCATAAGGTGATAGAGCTCTTCAGGAGCTACAACACAACACTGTGCTTCCTGGAAAACGTGCATTTTTAAAATTTTAGAAATCTTTTTCTAAGAAGAGTCCGAAAATGGCCGGGTCACAATGTCGCGGACAATAATTCTTCGAACGCGAAAATTTCCTTTTGGGTCCTATTTTTGAGTGGAAACACAAGTAATCCGAACAGGTAAGCATACTGCATTATAGAGCTCATCGAGGACAATAATCAGGTAGTGGTTATTTCTAAAAAACCCAAACTTAAATTTTATTTTGCTTTGTTTCAAAAAATAACTTCTAATTCCCTTTTTCAAGTCAAATTTCTTCACATGTAAACCTATTCAAGACATCCTAACAAAGCTGTTCGACTAAAATGGATGCTCTTTGCCATCCTCTATGCATCGGACGTGCATTAGTGAGTTTCTTTGCTGAAAATGGCTCTTGACAGTGCGTGCACATAACCCTACCTGCATCTCACCACTTAATTGTACCGCTTTACAGGCTTGTAACTCGGTCGGTAGTCATTCTACGAGCCTGCAAGTAGGCTCATTCGAAAGAGCGTGACATTCTCTACACGATGGTATGCAAATGAGTTCAGTTTCAGGAATAACAGAGATTTGGCGGATGGGGTGACAGAGCGCTGCCTTAGAGGTGATTGGAGTGAAGGCTCTTATCAACGCCAGAACAGTCTTAGAGCTCCAAAATGGATCAGTTACATATAAATTGACGGTTTTGAACTTCCAGAATGGAAGTAGTAGCGAAAGGAGCTTTTGCTGAAAAATCCTTACCATACGACAGAAGCTACGCTCTGTCACCCCATCCGCCAAGTCTCTGTTGTTCCTGAAACTGAACTCGTTTGCATACCTTCGTGTAAAGAAAGTCACGCTCTTTCGAATGAGCCTACTTGCAGGCTCGTAGAATGACTACCGACCGAGCTACAAGACTGCAAAGCGGTGCAATTCAGTGGTGAGATGCACGTGGGGTTATGTACGCACTGCCAAGAGCCATTTTCAGCAAAGAAACTCACCAACAGACGTTCGATGCATACCGAATGGCAAAAAGCATTCATTTTAGTCGAACAGCTTTGTTAGGATGTCTTGAATAGGTTTACATGTGAAGAAATTTGGCTTGAAAAAGGGAATTAGAAGTTATTTTTGAAAAAAGGCAAAATAAAATTCAAGTTTGGGCTTTTTTGGAGATAACCACTACCTGATTATTGTCCTCGATGAGCTCTATAATGTAGTATGCTTACCTGTTCGAATTACTTGTGTTTCCACTTAAAAATAGGACCCAAAAGGAAATTTTCGCGTTCGAAGAATTATTGTCCGCGACATTGTGACGCGGCCATTTTCGGACTCTTCTTAGAAAAAGATTTTTAAAATTTTTAGAATGCATGTTTTTCAGAAAGCACAATGTGTGGGTTGTAGCTCTTGAAGAGCTCTATCACCTCATGCAATCCAAACATTTTTCATCTTTGTTTTCCATCCGAAAATGAGCGATGAAAAATGGAAGGCGGCTTGTCCGCAACTTTTTGGCGGTCACTGTATATAAGCTCATTTTGCCTCACTGCCCAGAAGACAGAATGTAAATTCGTGCTACTATACTTTCTAAAATAAAAGAAAGAAGAGGAAATCGGAAAACTTATAAAGTAAAACTTTCTTCGCGAGATAATGCAAAAGTGATATAGCGTTTAGCGATATCGTTTTCATGTGTCTATCATTCTGTGTAGGATTTCTAAGCAATTTAGGCTATTAGAACAGAATGGAAGATTTGTGAGCAATATTGAAATTTTTGGCTGTGGAAAGTCAGAATAATCAAGCCTTACTATCTGCTTCTCCGATGCGATCTGAAGACATACAACGTGAGTAAAAGTGAGTGAGCTTACTTTGCGGTACGTAATTCACAGAACTACAGGGTGGCCGAAAAGTATGGGCGTCACATTTTTCGTTCAATGATTTTCCATAGCAAACAAAATTCTGTAAGATTATTTTTGCATGCCAAAAACACAGGCATCTTATCGTGTTACTCCTGCAAAACTGGGTACCTGCACATGCATACAGACTTCAGCAGCTTAGTTTGAAGTTGATGCGTCAAAAATGCTACTCGAAGAATGTATCCATTGCGAATCGTTGAAACCCGATTATTAATCGAGTAGATCTAAGATCTGATGTTTTGTAGAGCACATTCCGAGAAATAACGCAGTGCTTTAACAACAAAAAATTCTTTTCCAAATTAAGATACGGTACTGCAAATATGGTGTTAACTGAACGCGCCGCAGCGGCTGCTAAGGGAAAGTAGACTCAGGAATCCCGTTTGCATCAGAAGACTTCAGTTCGCGTGATTTTCACTTATTTCAATTTGAAGACTGTCCATAAGCTACAGGCATATTAGCCGTCATGATAGAATATTTCAGAAAAAAGATTTATTATACATATGTTGTAAGCCCATACTTACGGCCACCCTGTACTCATGATTTTGATCACTGGATACCAGTTAATGGCACAAGCATCCTTTACAAAACATACTTTACGAGCTCAAGATGGTCACATGTTTCTGTAAGACCTCCAGTCACAAACTAGTATCTTTACAGAGTGTGTTTCTAATTCTTCCGTAAGTGGAGATACTGGGATTCTGCAACAGTTCAACGCGCATAATGTATAGAAGGTTTTGCGCTATCCATCGCTGCGTTTACCGGGAGCTACCTCCTCAAAGGCGACATGTGAAAGTTTGCGAATGTTGCCAGGGCCAGCGCTCATCTGCCTTTGGAACGAATTGGAAAGCTACAGAAGCGCAGCATTCACTGAATCTGAGTCTACATTCTTTCCATTTTCCATTTAAAAATACTCGCTGGCAAATGCGACTATGCCAGGACCTGTCAACAGTACTTCCGTAATCCATGCCTTCCCCCCCCCCCCCAAATATCCAGCCTCGTAGATGAACTTTGCAAAAAATTATTGAAATTGATACTGATCAACGACGAAAAGTCTTCTACGACACCCGCCCTGCCCCATTGTATGTGTGCCAAGTTTAGTCCGGATCGGTCCAGGAATAGTTCTATGAAGACATATGAAGAGCTGACAACATATGTACACACAGACGTACATACAAACAAATATTCAGTCTTTATTGTTCTGATGAACAGTTTCGGTACTTTCAAGACATTGACTTTGCTCCTTCTTCCGCACAGTTGCACCCGAATTTCCGGTATGCGATCTACACATGTCTGCAATCAAATCTGGTGTATGGCTTCGCGACGATGAGGAGAAGAAGTACGAATAATTACGAAAAAAATATATAGATGAAAAAAGTTGTAAGTGTTTTTCTATTTTATGTTGCTTCCGCGCATCCTGTGAGCACCGTGAGGTTGCGCGAGACCAAACAAAGTCACAATTTACCCACCTCGTCACATAACTTTTCGAAAATTTTTGCATAAATCTATTCTTCAGTTCAAGCTCTGTTTATGAGTACTCTCTTTAGCACAAGTTCCACCCCTCTGCTTCGCTACAGGACTTGATAATATTAAAAAAACCTTCATTTTCGCCTTTTGTTGCTTTATCTCTAATTTTCGGTTTCTTCTCAGTTTTATCCACTCATCGTTTGCTGCAGGATTGTAAGCCGTACTTCAACAGATCCATAAAAGGTTATTCGTAATTTTTGTAGTGTCAAAGGGGACTTCGTTTCCAAGATTCCCAAATGGCACTTCCTGCCTTGGCCGCGACAGGTTTACTCATCAAGATTCTAAAGGCTTGCGTTGAAGTCAGAAGAGGCTGTCTCAAAACTTCATAGGCTCCAATCACAGATGCTTGAGTTACAAGTGCATCAGATATTTCTGTCTCCAGGTGCTTACCCTACAATTTCACCGAAAAAGGTACTCAGGTCCCAGACTTCTGACGCGCTCTGTATCGTTCGTCAGTGAGGATTGAACTGTCTCTTGCTTTCACGTCAAGAATGTGCATTAAGCCCTTTGTAATGCATGAAAATGGGAAACAAATTGAGAAAAAGTTTGAATTGTTCAAATGGGTAGATGTAGCACGATTCTTATCAAAAGTCATAATGGTAAGGACATTAAAATCATATTCAGGCTCGACAGTTCCAGCTTTAAAGATATCCTACTTTATTGACGCATGAAAGTTCGATTATCTCAGAAAACGCCCTAAAATTTCAATAGGGGTGATATAATTGTTAATTGCAGCGTAATCATGGCTCGCCTCATTCTTTGTAGCTCGTTTGTGATGCCCCTCGAATGACATGAGTTTCAGTCAACCAATAAAAGAACATGCTCTTACTAACGATGGAATTCTGCTTCAAAGGCACACGATGAGGTAATCCTTTATCAAAACTATTTACATTATTAAACGATTCAGTTCAAGCACAAACAATGTTGCTTTTCAGTCAAGAAGAGATAGTCAACAAACAACTTCTATGCTGATAAAGTAAATGAAATAGAAGTAAGAGCAACTTTGCATTTCGCAGTTCTGCACAATCGGCAAACCTAATTAGAATCTAAGGTCACCACAGATTATCTGTTGTTCAAAGTTTGTATGTATGGTCGATCCTGCAAAAATATCCGTGAAATCTTCTACAATTCGTATATGAGATGCTCTAGTTCACGGTCAACTAACTCCTGCTCCTTATCTCCAAACAAAGCGTCTTCTAATTTGTGCTAAGCTTACCGTCAAAATAAAATAGACCATAGCAAAGAAACTTTACAAAGTTAGCCGTTAGATTTTACAAGAGATCGGAAGAAGTGCTAGATTATGCCAACTAATTTGGGGTGATATGTACAATGCAATCTTCAGCACATGATCTTATAAAGTAGTCAAAAGTTTGTGCTTCAGCGGAGTTTTCTTTTATTTGGAGGGTCGCGAAGTGATCCTCTCATTGCTTGCTATACATGTAAATGTATCTAACAAGGGATGGATGGCCATTCAAAGTGGCCTTCTGCGAAGATTTGTATATCATGTTGGAGGGCGTAAAATGCTGGTTCCAAATCTGTCCTCCTTATCTGCGGAGCGTTCCTGGACGAGGAGTTATGAGCGTTTGAACGCGCAAAAAATTGAATGTTTTTATGGGATAAAAACAGTTGCTAGAATTTTCCCAGCTCTTGAATGCGACAGCCGGAGTGCCAACATATCTCACCTAAGAGTATTTATTTTATAGGGTGCTGGAAGTATTGTTACTGGTCCATTTTCGCGCTATGAAGAATGTTACTATTGTTTTTGTATTATTTGCACACTCGATTTTTTTCTCCAATAAACGCTCATAACTTCTCCAGAAACGCGCCGCAGATAAGGAAGACAGATTTGGAATCAGCGATTCATGTTCTCTAACATGGTATACAACTCATCTCAAAAGGCCACTTCGACCAACCATCCTTTCCTTGTAAGATAAGGAATGTTCTGCAGCTATGAAAAATCATGGTTCATATTCTGATGGACTTTCACATGAGTTAGTTCATAAAGCTCCCCAGTGCTTCAAAGCAATGATCTCATGGTCAGCTAGAGAGAACTCAGTGCAAGTTTGCATCTTTTCAATCAATGGATTCTTAGAACATCAATTCGATATATATACTTCTTAAACTTAGCTTGATTTATCAGAGTCGCTAAAGGTTGTTGATAAGTTTGCCGCATTTCTCGTTCTCCTATTTTCTACATTGTATATGAACGTGAAGTAAACGGTACCTTTGTGGGACATTTCAGCGGTACCGAATCATCTCCCAGATTTGGCCTTGCAGTTTTGTTTCCTACGGGTTCGAGCAGGGCATTCCACAAAAACTTTCCAAGGACTGCATTGCCGTACTTGCTCATATGGAACATGTCCACAGCATAAAACGTTTTGTCGTAAACTCCACTACTCTAAAATTATTAGCTTGGTTGCCAGAGAGAGAGAGAGAGAGTCAATATGTTTTCTTGCCCTTGTGTACCGGGCGAGCTGTATTGAACACATTACGATTACAAAATGTACATCGGATGAGGACCTGCGAGATGTTGGCGAAGGGAATCTAGAAGAAATTGAGGTGCAAAAGCTCCTAAAAATTCCCTAATTTGCTTAAGATAGGAACATAAACAGTGCTTGGCACACTGGACGGGGAAAGAGAGAGAAAACAGCGTTTTGCGGGACCGCGGCAGAACCTCGGAAAATTGCATTATGACAGCACTAGTTTGTTGTGCATATGCTCGTGAAGGCGACGAGCTATTTCTGAGAATACTACCAAAACCTATGTAAATATTGGCTGTAACAAAATTCCCCCCAATTAAACTGCGAACTTTCCAGCTGGGGCGAGCCAATTGAGCGATCTTTTCTCACGTGATTTTCTGAGTATTTAGGGTTCCTTCATACTACGCCGCAGGACGCAGCATCCTGCCGCAGCACGTGGCAGCACGCGGCGGCACGCCGCAGCACGTCGGGTTCCTGCGGCGTGCGCCGATGCAGTCGCGGTGAAAATATACGCTCTTGGCAGCACAGCTTTGCCGGTTTTAGGTATATATCCATATTTGCTGCACATTCTTGTTCTCCGAGAGTGTTCCCTCACAGCGAGCGAGCTTATATTTTCACTGTAACTGCAGCAGTCGCAGGACGCGGCGCAGCACGCCGACGTAGTATGAAGAAACCCTTAGGCATGAATCTGACCTGCATATAAAGGATTACCTACTAGTGCCGTAACTTTTTCATAATTCTCCCCTTCCTTTTTCATAATTCTTCCTTCTTATCACCGCCGTCCTGAACACTACTGTGCCGCAAATCTCAAATCAATCAAAACCAAACTGCTAACTCATTGCGGTTATCGATTTCTCATGGTAAAGCGCTATGAAGGCATTTTTCAACTCACTGTTAATCCGACACCAAAGAGGAATTTTTGAAGATTTTGAGAGCTAACATTTCGTTATCAGAGTTGTATCAGCTCATGCTGACACTAGGACTTCTTAGTTCCGAACATGGAAATTCGTTCTATCAGCGTTTAAGAAAAATCCAGGATGTTTTCAATCGATTTCACTTACAACAAAGCGTACACTGCAAAGAAAAAATTGTTCATAGATTCTGCTGCGCACTTTGTGCAGAGCCTGAATATGTCATCCTGACAATCGATGTGATATCTTGGTGAAAAATAGACCTGTCTGAGATTGGACATGAATTATCCCAACCTACTAGAGTGAACTGGGGAGAAAGTGGTTTGGAATGCCTTCGGTAAGCCGGGATAGGTCAAAACTCTCCAGTCTTTGCAATCCTTACATATACACCGAAAGTGTGTAGAAGGATCAAAGGTAAACGTCATTCTACATAGCTGAAGAACCAGTCATTAGCCCAATATGCAGCTACCTTTGGTTAGATGCCAAGTCGATTAGTAAGTAATCCAAAACAGCTCTCCCCTTCTCAACGTCGTTTATCAAAACGACATCAAACGGCATCAACTATGTATACGCCTACCCCTGCCCCCCCCCCCCCATTTAAGTATACGTCCATTTCTGAACATCCGTTGAAGCGGGGGGGGGGGGAGGGTGGAAGAAAACATATACATAGAAAGGAAGATGGTACGAAAGATATTTACCTAAGTTAAAAGAGGAAAAAATTTTGAGGCCAAGTTTACAATTTACTTCAAATCAGATCATCTTCATTACAGGCGTTTTGATTCAACCTTCAAAATTTCTTGTTAGTCTAACAATTTGATAAAACTAAAGGTGTGAGGGCTCAAGTTCCAGTTCCTTAGACTAAAGCCAGTTTTAAAAAACGGTTCCCAAAAACTCGCGCAAAATTTCATTCATCCGAAGTTTGAAACCAAAGTCCAAAATTTTTTTAATGCATAGATGAGCAATTTCAAACTCCTCATTCTGGACAGAGTGAGTTAGTCTTATTTTTCGGATAATCGAAATCTGAACTTCGCTTGATACTTCATCAAAATTGAGCCACAGACGAACGTTCGGTTGCCATCACGTGGCCTGCTTTGTTTTATAGAGTAGTGTGAGCCTCGATCAAAAAAATAAGTAGTAAAATCTCGTCAATACCTCATGAGACAAAATTTTGAGCTTCAAAAAAATTGTAAAAGTTGCTCACGTTTCGAAACGCGTCCGTAATTTCATCCATGAAACCTTGAACAACCACAGTGAAGTCTTCGCGGTCGAACATTCTACTGTCTTGTATTTCATAAGCCGCCTATAGGACAGAAATAACAGATGGTGGAAAACAAGGAGGATTCACCTATGAGCACAAAGAGAAAACGACCAACCTTTCTATATTCACCGCAGAGAATGTCGCGTTTTTCCATGTAATGATCGCCGCATTGAAGTCGTTTTCTGGAAAAATATAGAGTACTTTTACTGTTATTAAAATTATTTTCAAAAAAGGATACTGCTTTCCTTGTACCGAATTTGGTAAAAATCTCACAGATGAAGAGTCAACCTTCTGCCACGTTTGAAAAAAATTAACATGTTATCTACATGTTCAACTGGTTTTAAAGAAAATTTGTCTAGGCTACCTATCAGTTATAAGCAGAGTTGAGCGTGGGGTTAGGCGCGCCCGACCTGGGGAATCGTATTGAGGGTAAGACTGAGGGGGGGGGGTTCGTAATTAAGAATCGAATTTGTTAAGTTGAGGAGATACTGCGAAGGTGAAGAAGAAATGTGCCAGTCCGGTGGAATCGCGATCACATGAAGCAATGACTGTCATGAACAGCATACTGATTGTTTCCACAATGGAAATTTCAGCCAAAATTCAAATCTTCATCTCTTTTACCTTGACATATGGGGTCGACAAGGAAGCTTGCTGTGTGAAATGGGTATCATTTCCATAATCAGCATGTCAAATTCCTCTATGCGCTCTATAAACCATTACCTATTGCAGTTTCTAGGGTTTCGCAACGTCTAAAAAGCGTGATTTTCAAACGTTTTCAAACAATCAACTTGGTTTTAGAAGTGAGAAAAGTCAGCTTTTGTATACTCATAACAAAGTAATGTTCTCTACAAGTCTATGCTACAAATCGGGTTTCATATCGCTTTCAAAGAGTGAAGTAAGAAGTGCTGCCAAAATTCCAACCGGCGCGTTTTTCACGTTGAGTGCTCCAACTCCTCGGATTAGCAAAAGGCCGAAACAAGTCGAATCAAGCTCAAACACTTACTGTGGAATCTTCGAGGGTTGAGCTAGCGAATCACATAAAACTTGGGTAGAAAAGCTTTTTCGGAAATAAAGTTGATGGGTCAGGCGCAACCTCTCAAAAGGTCAGGCCGCCTGAGCTTTTGGGGGGCTGCGCGTGACCCTCTTAAGTTGCCTTCGAAATTCAAAAAGCGCCTTTTTTTGATATGAGTGTTGAGCACAATGCCTTTTCTTGCTATATTGAAAATTTGAAGCCAAGCACTCCACTCCTGTGAAAATTATAGCTCTGAAAGGAGGACTATCCAGATTTGAATCTTGCCGTCAAGTTGCGTGTGGTTGTGCATTCGCAGAAAGTCGGGCCTACAGACTTTCAAAAAATAGAAACCTGCAGTGAAGGCTGGTCTTCTTCAAAGTATGTTACCCTGAGGTGGAGGTGATGCGGGGGGTCGTTTAGGGGCTTTCACAGGGGGAGGGTCGTTTTTGAAGGACTTGTGCCTGACTTCTTGCTCAACTGGTTATAAGTTAATCCATGACGAAGATGTGGACAACCAGTGGCACACGCACTTTTTGCCGCCAGGAACGATGTGGACCACCGGAGGCCCACACCGCTTGCGAAATCATGTCCTTTCCAGGTCTAGTATCTTCTCCATAGTTCAACATTTTTTCCACTTTTTTGCGCTCTCGGAACCTGTAGATTCCTCGTCGAAGAAGATGATTGTAGTTGATAATAAAACAACCTTACATTTCGTAAATAATCACAAATCTTTCCCACGCCAAAAGTGTTGTGCAAAATCGCGTCGTCCCACAGCGTCGCCACGCAAAATTAGGCGTCGTCAGTGGGTTGAATCTGTTTTTTTATTCAATAATGACCCCATTCTTAGTCAGCAATTTCATGAATGAGATCTAACATCTAAAATGACATTCTGTGTTTGATAAACACAGGTTTACTCAAAACAGAGAAGTGGGCTATTGCTATCATCTAAACGACAAAACGATCGGCAGCCAGGTACTTCAAGACATCATTTGTGTCCTTTCCCATGGCGGAAACAATGTAAAGAGCATAACTTCTTTAAATCATTGCTGAATGCTAATATTTCAAAAGGATTAAAACTGCTTTGCTTTTATGGAGGATCTTTGAACAGTTTTCGAGTCATCTCACATGCTTTCGTACCTCCTTGGAAATAAATCTGAAAAAACATGTCTGGCTGGCCTCAAACGTGTTGGTTTTTTATCTTGACATGTGGCAAGAAGGCGGTCCTCACAAGATCCACGAAAATTATCTTCTAAGTTGAAGTACGTCTCTGAGAGAGCATTTTGAAGAAATGGGTCCGGATACAAAAATGCAGCTAATATCGGACTACACCGGTGATGTCCCGCAAAAAATTTTCTCGTCCAACGCCTAACCAGATGGAGAGAGGTTGGAATTGCTTTATGGTTATACGAACTTTCATTCAAATGCTTAAGACACTAGGTTGGGCAAAATTGAATCGTACTCTGCAAAGTTCGAAAATGACCAGCTAACTTCTTCAAATCACCACACGACAGTAGTAATCCGAATATATTTTCTGTGAAGGAGGTGCAACGGAAAGAGAGGGAGGAAAACCTAGAAAACTTTTTTTATCTACAATTGCAGAAAAATTTCTGGAAATCATTTTGATTATTTACAAAGAAGACAAGGCATATGGGCATTTTTTGTCTCTTTATATATTTCTTAGATCGGGGGCCCATTTGCAAAGGAGAGAGTTAGGAAGATTGATTGAAGGAGATATAACTGCATTGTAAGAAAACTAATACTCATGTTGTCTTATTGATTCTGAGTTAACTCTACAAGCCCTGAATACAGAGTCACGTCGCTTTTCAAAAAAAAAATTATGTACCATTTCCTTCAGGAAGATTGTTTTGGCCATACAACGGCCGCGGCGACTCTTTATTTTTGGAAGCCCTGTTTTCTGTCTAAATAAATTGAGCGATATGCTTTGATGTCCCTATAACAAACATGAGTTTTCGGTAGGTTGCGTTCACTTGCGCTTGTATGTCAAAAAAGCGGATGCAAAAAAATTCTGCTTTTGGTAGTTCTGTCACATCTCAGCACGTGAAAAAGGGTGTTTCAAAGATAAAACTGATGAAAAAATTGTCCAAAAAGCGATTATGCGTGCACTATTTTCGCACAGAACTATCACTACTCACTCATCAAGGATCAATGAGTGCGCCTCAATTGCCAACTGCGAGTTCCACATTGGAATTATGGAAACAATGGTGCGATTTAGGTTTTCTCTTAAAAACGAGATTGCTTTCACCAGATAAGCTTTGTAGTCTTCTCGGCTGATTGGTTCCTAAAGATAACTTCCTGTTAAATAAACGAGCTGAAAAAATTTCGAACCGATGTTCTCCCTGTACAGCCGAATTTTTGCAAATCATTCGTTCCGATAAATATTGTCACAAGCTTCCAATCCCCAGCCAAATTGACCTGTAATCAATAAAGTTGCTGTTATAAAGGTACAAAAAGAATAATAAGCGTAGGTGATATGATAAATAGATCCGAATTTGTGAAATAGGGCTTTCTCTATCACATGAAACTACCAAGATTTTCAGTCTGGTATGCTCACAGAAAACATGAAACTATAACTTATGGCCATCAAGTTACTTCGCAAACGATTACAGCGAGGTGAAAATGCTGGTCCGAATTTGATGTGAAGAGAAACGGACTACTGAGTAAACTACGAAAGTTCATGGAAAAATTATTTGCTCATAACCACATTCATCTAAAAATGACAAATTTGGTGAGCGTATGCGCAGTGGGCAATTGTGCGAAGTCATATGAAAAAATCATGTGAAAACGTGGCTGAAAATCAGGTGGCACCTAAACAGATGCAAAACTACCAGATCCTTTAGTATTAGGTCGTTCCGAAAGTAGTGTCGCTTTTTTCAAGTAAACGCTACATTTAGTGGAAGCAAGATTTCTAGGAGATCTTGATAGCATTCGATGCAGCATTTCATTCTCTTTCTAAAGGTTATATAATCACTGCATAAAACTTAATAACCTCTTGAAAAATTATCAAAATCTGCGACCCATGCTTTTTGAGAAGGCCAAATTTCACGATTTTTCTAAATTTTTATAACAGCCCTCAAAAGGAGTCCAAGTAATGAATGGATAGAGCAAACCCTACATGAAACAGCACAACTTTTTTCTACTCTCCAGAGCTCGTCATAATATTTGTATAGATTTTTTGATTGAACCACCGAATTTTAGCAGGATCGTCTCAAACGTAAATGCATCAAACACCAATAAATCTTCGGATTTTGAAGCTTACAAAAATGGATTATGTTGATCACTGATTTTAGAAGGCAAATGAGCGTTTACCGCTTCAGATTAGCGACTTTCCGAAAATTCGAATACAGCCTGGGGCGCCCTGGGAAACCTGAATTTTGATGATTTCATCCCGGAAAACTTGATGAATCGGTAACAAAAAACCGCTAGAAAGAGGAGAAAAAGCTGCATCGTATGACATCCGAATTGCCGTTTGTTGTTCTGTGAGCTTTGAGTTGACCAAATATGGAATTTTATGGCATTGGAAGACTGATTCTAGGAACTCTAGGAAGCAAACTAATGAGAAGAAAAAATTACTCTATGTCCTATAGTTTTTGCTCTATCTATCTGTCACTTGGATTTCTTCGGAGAATAGGCACAAAAATTTAGAAAAATAGCCGAACTTGACCATGGCAAGAAGCATGAGTCGCAGATTTTAGTAATTTTTCGAGAGATCATCGAACATTATGCAATGAAATTGCAACCGTTAGAAAGACGATGAAATGCTGCATCGAATGCTTCTAACAACATTCAAAAATCTTGATTCCATGAAATGTGGCGTTCATTTGAAAAAAGCGACCTTACTTTCGGAACGACCTAATATTTCATAATTACTTCATGATTCTTTCTATGTGTAAAGTTTACCAAGGAAGGAAGGGTTGTTTCAAAAAAATTTTTCCTTCTACTAGTGAACCAGTAATTAAAAGTGCCAGATTGCATCCGCACTTCGGGACCGCCACGCGGTTTTCCGCTATTTGCAGATTTTTGAATTGCGCTTACGTTTCTTTATATATTAGGTTAAAGGCCGTACAGCCAAAATCTAAGTTAATGAATTTCCTAGATCTTTCTGTACCGTGTATATTGCTGGGCTCAGAGGAAGATCAACTGCGTTGGTCCGGTCTCCCAATGTTGCTTCTGAGCGGAGAAACCCCCCCCCTCAATTTTCTTTCACTCCGCCCCTTTTCTTTCACTCCGCCTCCTCCGGACGAATCCACGACAGCGTAAGCTTCAGTTGCCGTTGCAGTTGCTGTTGCAATGCTGTTGCATCTGCAACTGCAGTTGCAACAGTGCAATTGCTTTTTGCGGTGCGCCTCCTTCGGGCGACGAACCACGACAGCATATGCAGCAGTTGCAATTGCAACTGCAGGCTGTCATGCTGTTGCGCTGCTGGCATGCCGACGGGGACGAGCAGCTCGAAACTCGTCCGCCCCTGAAGAGATGGTCCCCGGAAATCGGGTTTTTTTGGGACTTTTGGAGGATTTCAATGACGTAACTGTAATCAGCGGCACGCAAAGGCCCCAGAATGACAAAAACATCGAAGATGAATTTTTAGGTGTACGCTGCCTCTAAGAGCTGTACTGTTTCTAACAAGAAAAGGCACCTAGCTTAGGGCGGCCTTTTAAGAAGAGACACATTTATTTGGAATCAGCTTGAAACGCTGGTTTCAAATCTGCTTTCCATAACTACGAATCATCACTCTGAAGGAGATATGTAATTTGATATTTCGATTTCCACCGCTTTTTGGGCAGATCTTCATCTAAAGGCCTTCTTCCATATTCAGTTTCACGCCGCCTCTGTAATGGGACTTACTTTGGACAACGAAGTTACGATCAGAACGGGTCCGCCCAATTCATTCAAAGTGTATACCATCGCAATGGCCCGCAGAGGGAGGACGAGCGTTAGGCCTGGGCATACCTCTCGCGATTTCAGTCGCCATGCGATTTGGCCATTTGCTAGATGTCTTCGAATCCAGCACCCGCAGACCACAATGCTTGATGTATTCCACTTTCGTGAGTCGATAAGATGTGTTATTTTCCATGTGCTCAGTTTAAGTTGGCGAGTTATAAGCAAGTGGAGTATTGTCAAGTCGCATGAATTCTCTTGAGTTATGCCCGCGGTCTTGCACTAATAGCGCGCGACCGCACTTTCACAATTAGGCCCTCACAGAAATCTGTGTGATTGCCGCATATGCGATGTTCTTCGTTACACCCTCAAGAGTGCAAATTCTACGTAAATTGCTCGATTCACTTCACTTCTGTCTACTTTTACGTCCAAACTTTTACGCATATAGGAAATGCTACACAAAGCAGCGCAGCATGACAATGAAGCTGAGTGTTAGGAAAGTTTCAAAGGTAATCCCGCTTGTTTCAGGCGGGCGTAATATGCCACGGAAGAAAAATTTTGGGATATTCGATGCAGCTTTCATCCTCTTTCAAATGGTGGCATACCATATCCGCTCAAACAAAGAACTCTCAGAAATTGTTCGTATACTGGTACCCATAGTTTTGGTGGTCAAGTTTGCTAATTCTTAAAGTTTTTATAACGACCCGTTGAGAAAGTCCAAGTAACGGGCAAGTCGAGCAAACCCTCAAGGATAGCAAATAGTTTTCCCTTTCCATAAGTTTTCAAAATGCTGAAAATTATCTTCTTAATGCTATCAAATTCCATATATGATCAAGTTAAATCTCATAGAATTAACCGACAAACAATGGGATGCCATTTGATGGTAATGGCTTCTCTCCTCTCTCACAAATGTTTCTTATTTCCGATCCTATAATTCATGAAGTGTGCCCTAGGCCGTACTTGGAAAAGTTGAAGTTTGATATTTTCAGTCCGTAAACGCTGATTTGCTAAGTATGATCAGTGGTGAATTATATTCTATTTATTGAATTTTCAAATTCCCAAGATTTGTTGGTGTTTGATACGTTTGTGTCTGAGACAGGCTTTAAAATTCAGTGTCAATAAAAATCTATCAAAAAATTATGACGAATAATGGAAAAAGATAGAAGCTGTTCTGTATTTTATAGGGTGCTACATCCAAATTTTAGAATTTCTTCGAGGGATCGGCATAAAAATTCTGAAGTTAGAGAGTGACCATGAAGAAGCAGTGCGTGTGTCAAAAGGCGCGATTGTTATTGCAGATGCATACCATAAAGCACATATTTGATGTTTTATAACCTTCAAGATCACTTCAAGATCCCAAGATATGTCAGATAGGGGCATATGTTGTATAGTACATACTACGCCAAGACGCAGCAGTCTGCCGCAGCTCGCAGCGTCGTGCGGCGTGCGCCGTTGCAGTTGAAAATATACGCTCTCGGCAGCACATCTTCGCTGGTTATGGATGTATCTCTATATTTGCTGCATGTTCATGTTCTTCGAGGGTCTTTCACAGCGAGCGAACTTATATTTTCACTGCGACTGCAGCGGCGCACGCCGCAGCACGCCGCGTCCTGCGGCGTAGTATGAATAAACCTGTAGAGGATTTTCCGAACTATAAGACTTACCTCAAGGATACTTACGGTTGACTAGATCAGAAGCAAAAAAAATCGAAAAAATTTTCGTAATAAATTTTCACGACAAGCATATGATAGTCGTGATAAGGTAATGAAAGCTTGTGAGTGCCTCATGGTAAGGGATTATTGAAATGCTCTTTTTCACAACTTTTAACTCTGCAAGTCCCGATCCAGAGAAAATGGTGGTGTTAAGGAGTTTGATATTGCAGCCATTATCGCTCCAGCCAGCAGCATACCAGGAAGAAAAATCAACGCAGTAAAGAAGTTCTTGAATCATGATAGAATCAGCTGAAGACGCGGGCACTGGTTTCCAACAAAAGGGGTTTTTTTTGGTTGTTTATTCACAGCCCCGGCTATAACTTGGGCTCGTGTGCACGTACACCCCCGCGGGGATTTAAGAGGCGGCGCGCCCTATCTCGCTACTTAGATAACTTTTTTCTTCTTTTTCTATCTGGGTTGGGAAGGTTCTCATACCCTGTACCGGCGCATAATGGTTGCCAGGGTACGTCTACAAGACCAAATTTTCATTATTTTAGTGATCCCCTGAGATGAACCAGGGGATCAGCTCTTATTTTCAAAGCTATTTACTTATTTCTACTATGAACATGTTTAGCAGTGTCGTATTATATCCTCAGCACAATTTTATAACATTCTTATTGAATTTATTGGAATGTATTATAAATGACTTTAAAAATGAGAGCTAATTTTCTGGGGAATCTTAGGGTATCACACAAATTAGTGAAAAACTGACCTTGTATGACAGTACCCTGGCAACCATTATGCGCAAGTATCCGGGCATAAGAACGTTTATAACCCAGACAGATAAGGAAAATAAAGATATCTAGAGTAGCGAGATATGTGGCATCCCCTCTCAGATCCCTCCCTCCCCCTCCCCCGCATCCCCGCGGGGATATACATGCATACGGGCCTTGAAATGTTTTATTACTTATTTACCCTCGTCATCCACGCCATTTATAAAAATTTCACTCACAAATCGTACTCAGACTTCACATGTCACTGACTGCGCTCTCTCTTCTAGATCGCTTAGCAGATAATAAACCCATATTTGGAATCAACTCTTTAAGACGTCTGTAATTCTAAATAGCTTATTTGGTTTCGCCGGACTGTGTTCTGACCATTCCCTTGTAAGTCAGCCTCCTTTTCCCGTCAGTAATTTAGAGAAACGATCTAACCCCTTGTTGTCTCATTCTGCTGACGAGTTCGCTTGCCTGCCTTGGCAGGTCTTCACTGGTCCTCCCACTAATAGCGACATTGAATCCAGTGTTTTTATAGCCTTCTCCCTGTGACAGTCCCATGATCCCATGGTTGAGTTCTCGTAGAATCTCTGTGAGTACGCAAATTTTTAGAAATTCAATATTTTACGAAATCTTCGAAATTTACTCACTTCCAACAGTGATTTGATCTTGCAAAGTCCCGTCGCCTCCACTGATGTAGGAGTTTCCTGGATAAACAGTCTTTCTATGTTCTTCCTCAAAGTTCTTCGAATATGTGGCCGCCTTGAAATTGTAGGTTCAAAGGATGCAAAAAATAGTAGCCATTCATGGCCATGCTCTATCGAAAGTTTGGTCAACGACTGAAGACCATTACCGTTATAGAGTCACCCATCGCAGCGACAACTTTGATATCGGCCGGACGGACTTGATTAACATTTGTTGGGATCGTCAATGATGGTCTTATGATTTCTTCGTCGCAATGCAACTCGCCACCAAGGCTTTTCATTGCTGAAAGTCACTACAATACACTGATATCAGGCTATGCAGATAATGGCTGCTCATTGAAAGCGCTAAACGACATCCGCCCAACAACAATAGTCGAAGCATTTTTCTTGTTTGTGGATTTTATGATCAATTTTATGATTATAGAACATAGTGAAACTGGAACTCACGAGTTTGCACTTCCATCGCTTGCCCAGTATGACCTGAAATACTTCTATGTAGCTTAAGCAATCTCCATTTCGAACGGGGTTTGAGAAGCAATAACACTCGTTCTGAGAAGAAGAAGGACGAGACTTTTTGACCCCCCAAGAAATCTAATCTATTAGGTTGGTTCATAATTAATGCACGCCTTTCCTACCTCTTCTTTCAAACGCTAGTTTTCAATCAAAAATCGTTTTTGTCTAAAAACCATCTAGACTATCGGAAAGCCCAATTCTTCTACTTTCTGATATACAATTTTATTTTGGAGATCTTTGTTCAGAGCGAAGTTCCGTGCCTTCAAAGGTGAGGAACTCAAACTTGAAATTTTTTCCTTTCACTCGACTTGCCCTAAACCCATGAAAAAGGCCCAAATTTGTTTCAAAAAATATGTGTTATAATCGCGAAGATTTGTGCTATAAAATGCTCACCAAGGCTAAATTTTTTGAAAATCCTGAGCCGAGAAACTTTGACTCAAACTTAACTGAATGCTGGAATCACTCGGAGCTTATAAAATGCTTACGTGAGAAGCAATTACAGAACTTTCACTTGGTTCCGGTAGAGTAGACCAAGGACTACTAATGAAAGGAAAACGGCAGCATCTCTTCGTTTTTCAAATGAGAAAAAATTGAAGAAATCTAAAAATACAGTTTTTTATAGCAATACAGCCTTTTATAAAATGCAGGAGAAAATGGTACTTTTGCTTTCTTGGCAATATTTTTTCTGCAGAAAATTTTCGGCAAAGGCCAAGTTTCACATTGCTATTGAATAGACCATCGGCTACACAATGAGCGAAGTTTGCTCCATTCTAGTCCTTTTGAGAGTAAGTTATGCTCTTTCACACTACAGCTTTTCAGAAAAAGTTCTCATTTATTTTTTTTTGAGCCGGAGAATCTTTCCCGTAGTGAGTACAATCACACAAAAGTATACATTGTATAGCTAAGAGTTTGCTGTTTACAATAGTTCTTGATGCGCTCGGAAAGGTCGTTTTGGAAAAGAATTATCTTCATTAGAAGGAAAGTTGAGAAAATGTGCATTAATTATGAACCAACCTGTTAGGGTGCCCCATAATTATTTACCGTTTTTACCCCAAAGCATTTCTCGAGAACTGAGGCACCTTCAAAATTTTCAAATATATGATCGTATTTCTGGATATATGAGCTACATGATCACGTGTGTGGGAGGAACTCAGGACTTCTAAGGGCGGAGTTTGCCATTTTACCTCATTCATTTTTTTCTGTATTTCTAGCCATGGAAAAAATTTGAAAAGTATGCAGTCGAATGTGCGATGTGTCAACCATATGCCAGAATAAATTTGGATTTTTTGGATACTTTGGGGCGGAGATACGATTTTTGACAAAAAAGTTTGTTTTCGACTACTACCATATTTCAGCTCAAAACTTTACGTGGATTACGATTTACGCAGACTTTTGATAGCCATCTTCAGGGTTGAGCAAGAGGTCAGGCACAAGTCTTTCCAAAACGACCCCCCCCCTCCAGTGAAAGCCTCTAAACGACCCCTCTGCTTCACCTCCAGGACCTCAGGCAGTGAAAATTCGAAGAGATCAGCCGTTTTTGGGAGTTCTTGTTTTTTGGAGGTCTGTAGGTCGACTTTCTGCGATTGCACAGCACACGCAACTTGACGGCAAGTTTTGGATTTTGGATAGCCCTACTTTTAGAGCTACAATTCCCACAGGGGTGTATTGTTTGGCTCCAAATTTGCAGTATTGCAAGAAGAGGCTTTGAGTTCAATACTCATAGCAGAAATGGAGCGATTTTTAGATTTTGAAAACAAGTTAATCGGGTCAGGCGTAACCTCTCAAAAGCTCAGGCGGCCTGACCTTTTGTGGGGTTGCGCCTGACCCGATTAACTTTATCATTGAAGAAGCTTTTTTATTCAAGTTTTATGTGAATCGCTAGCACAACCCTCGAAGATTCCACAGTAAGTGTTTGGACTTCATTCGACTTGTTTCGGCCTTGTGGTAATCCGTGGAGTTAAAGCAGTCATGGCGAAAAACGCGCCGGTCGGAATTTTGGCATTATTTCTTACTCCACTATTTGCAAGCGATACAAAGCGCGATTTTTAGCCTAGACTAGTGGGGAACAATACTTTGTTACGAGTACAAAAAAATTGACTTTTTTCACTTTTGAAAACAAGTTAATCATGTTTGAAAATCACGCTTTTTAGTCGTTGAGAAACACTAGATAATGCAGTAAATAATGGTTTGTAGGGCTCATAGAGGTAATTTGACGTGCTCGAAAATGATACCCATTTCACACAGCAAGCTTCCTTGATGAATTTATAATATGTCAAGGTAGAAGATGAAGATTTGAGTTTTGGCCGAAACTTCGATTGTGAAATCAATCAGTATGCTGTTTAAACCGTTCATTCCTTCAGTACTGGTGAGGTCGCGATATCCACTAAACTAGCGCTTTTCTTCTTCACCTTAATCGTAGTATCTCCTCAATCGAACGAATTCGATTCCTAATCACGACACCCCCCCTCTGTCTTAGGCCCGTATGCACGTACATCCCCGCGGGGAGGGGATGTGCGCTTAACCATTGAAATGATCCCCGCTGGGGATCCCCTCCCCTCCCCGCGCGAACCCCCGTATGCACAAAGACAATATCGTACAAGGGATCCCCTGTGGGGAGGGGAAGTGAACCCTCTTATGCACAAGAGGAGATCAAGCGGGGAAATCACCTTGCGTTCAAATTTTCTATAAAAACTCTTTCTTATTTCATATTTTGACTGCAACTCATCTTCATCTCCTCACTTCAATTAATTTAGGGTTGCGGAATGTGCGTATGCAGTGACTGCGCTAGGGGCGCTAAAAATGATTTTTTCTACTCTCATTATGTTCCTGCTTTCTTGGATGCTGCCCACTTTCGTTCATGCTGCTCCATTTCAGCGTCAAAATGTTGAACTACAGAAGTTGATGTGTCTCTGCAAGGGAATGGGTAGAAGACGTTATGCTGCCGAAAAGGGGGGGGGGTGCCGCGCGGACGCTCAAAGCAGTATTCTAACACATAACAGAAGCTGCAAATTGTGCCAGCTCTCCATAAACGCTGTAACTATCAGCTGCATATCGTCGTTTATCCCAGGGGAATGATCCCCAGCAGCCATCCCTGCTATGCACAAGGGGAACGCTGGGGAGGGGATCACTCCCCAGGGGATTTCTACTCAGAAATAGGCAAATATGCTACTTCCTAGATTTTTTCGAGGCAGCTTATGTTAAAAAAACAAGATAATGGCAACATGTCATGAAATATGAAAGTTACAGTGTGTTTATTCAGCCTATATAGCTAAAACTATTATGTTATAGGCCGTCCGCGCAGGGCGCGGAGAGTGCGCAAGGTGTGTATTGCGCGTCACTCTTCTTTCCCCGTGCACTCTCGCCGCCTGTTTTTCTCTGCGCTCAACTATCTTCACTGGACGCAACAGCGTTGCTCTCCGCACGCAGCGCGGACGGCCTATATATGAAAAATGCGCAAATTTCCTGAATGATCAAGAACTCCTACAAATAATCGAAATTGGCAGCTATTGCTGCTCGGATTTCTTCTCAAGAGGCGAATATAGAAAAGAAAGACAAATTGCAAGCCACAGGTCGCTGAGAGAAGAACCCGGCTTTCAAAGAAAATCCTCCATCAAAATGAACGAAATGCTTGGTAATGACTGAGCAGAACCAGAATATCCGCGTCTCTGGCATGATCTACACCATCGAACCCCTACTTCGTTGCAGGGGATGTCGATCCCCTCCCCCGCGTTATTGAGTTGAATTCGCGCATACGGGGTTCGAGTGGGGGAAGGGAAGGGATCCCCTCCCCCATTCGAACCCCGTATGCACTGGGGTTCGCTCGATCAATACCTCTGAAATCATTCACACCATCCCCGCTTAGGTGCAGGGGAGGGGTTCGCTCCCCTCCCCTCTGTCATGGCAAGGTTCGGCGGAGGGGATCGTTCCCCTGGGGATCCAGCTCCCCTCCCCTCCCCAATGGGGACGTACGTGCATACGGGCCTTACCCCAGTACGACCCCCCAGGTCGGGCGCGGCTGACCCCACGCTCAACCCTGGCCATCTTGTAGAGCTTGCTTTGCCCTATCGAAGGGTTACTCAAGCCGCAACAGATAAAGGATAGACACAAAAAGACGACCGTCGAAGTAAAAACGGTAAATAATTATGGGACAACCTAATAATATAAAGAATTTGCTTGAAAATCTTGTTCCGATAGAAAAAACACCTAAAATCCTTCGTTATTGTTTTACAAATTTGAAAGCTATCACTCAGTGAAGGGTTTGGTTATGCCTGTGAATAAATGAAAAGAAATGAAATGAAGAAAGCAATCTTTCTATCGGGAATCAACTGAAGTGAACCAAAAATTTTTAGGTTTTGGATACTCTTGTTCAAAAAAAACTACAAAAAAAAAACGAAAAACATGTAGAGAACGACAAACACAGACAACTTCCAAAGAGTAAAAACATGTTGAAGGAAAGTAATGTGAGAATATTATGACGTTTCGACCCGAAATTGATTACTTCTTGCCTAGGAATAATATGTAAACATGAAATTCTGTTGAAGAGTGAAAAATCGTGAATACATAGCTTAGGAAATCGTGTATCAAAAACTCCCTCACCTCTATAACTTGAAAAAATCAGGACAATCACCAATACTCCAGTTATCAGAGCTGCCAGACATTTTACCCTTCCGCAGTGACATCGAATCTTTGGCAGACGATCTGCAGTGTAGTACTCCACATACGTTTTATAGTCCTATAAAAAAACTGCAAGTAAATAAGAACTTATCAGAATCGCTTGATAACACGTTTTTTTCAAATTTGAGGTTTGCACGGCTTAGTGGGATTGGTTATGAACAGTGCTCGAAAGTTTAAGAGCTAAATACCTTTTCGATAAACTGGAAGGGAAGTACCTAGAAACAAAGCCTTGGTGCACACATAATTCAAACACTGTTGTTTTTTATCAGAGTAGAGCAAGTCCTTAGCCCATGTCACAAAGAACACTTCTTTATGGTCAAAAAATAATTGTTTGGAGACTAGCTGGCACACCCGGCTTGGTTGGTACTCCTTATGTAGGTACCATGACAGGACCTCCCAGCCAACATGCTTGTATTACTCTCCCCACTGAAGAAGGACTGAGTTGAGCTGAATGTTTGTGTGTATCTCTAAATATGCTGAGAATACAAATTTCTGCTTCTGGACCGACCCGGACCAAGGTTTGCAACATGCACTTCGGGCGGGACTGGTGTCATCGGCTACTTTTCGTATCGATCGATACCAATTTCATTGATTTTCTGTAAAGTTTGAGCCACGGGACTGGGAGGCACATGGGGATAAGTGAGCATGCTGATTACAAATATAATATTGACAGGGCTGGGCGGAGCTGAGTTTGCCAGCTAGTGGGCGATAAACTTTCATCGCTTTAGAATACGTAAAAGATAGATAAATTGACAGGTCGGCGGATCGCCACATGCAGTAACCTGTATTTCTCGCCGGGGTCGAGAACATGCGTGTGCAAAGTTTCAGCTTGATCGGTCCACACCCAAATAAGTTTCCAAAAAGCACACATAGCACATGCTTTCACAGTTTTTCTGCTTTATTTACTAGAGATAGATACAAATTTAATTGAGAGCATTTGTGCGTTGCATCAACGACGGAAAATCAACGATTGAAAAGTATCAAAGCTGTCCTATCAATTTAGCTTTCGAATTCGTTGAACAAACGACAGCAACGGGCCAAAGGCATTCGAAAATCTTATTAGGTTTTCCATAACTCTTTCATGATTCTTTATCTCAATGAGACATCCCCTCTTATTTATAAAAATCGGGTCTTTCGCTAGAGCAAAGCATTCTCTACGCACATTCACACCAAGTTGATTCTGCGCAAAGTAAGCCGAAATCTATGATTCAAATGTCCAAAAATTAAACAAATCAAATGTTCGTCCAAAAAATTCTGTGCCTCTAACTCGCTTGAAACATGATCTCTCACATCATTTTTCCATATTCGGCGCTAGGATCCGAGAAATAGAGACTATCATTTTTTCGCCAAAGCTATGCTGGGCTGTTTTACTCAGGCAAACCTATAGTAAACCTTTGTAAGAATATATTCAACCTTCTATGAGTTTATCATGAGAAATATCAAATCTAGCCTAAAACCCCAAGAAGCGGCACTTTCTAAATTTTATTGCCTGTTGTGAAGAGTTTGTGCCTGATCGAGATGGGGGCCTTCAAGATTTGTCTGGAATGAGATCTGATTTTCGAGCACCGAAAATTTTTTTAGGTTGGCCTCAATCTTCACGTGGATCAAATCTTTTGCATTCTTACAAAGGCCATCTTTTGATGTATTGCTCTATCGTATGTTCGCTCAAGCTCCAATCCAAAGGATAAAGGTAAGCAGATTTTTGTCAATATGAAAAGACATGTGGAACAACATAATATTTGCAGATTCCGAGAAAAAGCTTCTGGCAAACGCAGCTACTTATTACTATGCGATGGAGCAAACCATAATGAACTTGTGGGCTTCTGCTATTGTGCAAATCCTCAGTATCAGGGCACGGCACAGGTGGCCTACCAAGCAAGCTGGAGATCGTTTTTGGGAGAAAAGCAAAGGGAGTTTCGTTTTTGCGGGAGAGCATACCGCTGTCTCTCCATCTGCCGCCGGCAGCTGCCGGCATTCCGGCGGCATGCTCTCTCAAACAAACAAAGGGTTGTTTACAGCGATGAAGATGAAATGACACCAAAATAGGTGTATAGATGGGCAGTAAGGAGTTGAGTCTAACAAGGGAATGGTCAGAAGTCGAAGTGGCCAATCCATACAAGCTGCATACCATTCGATGCAGCATAGAATGCTGATTTCAAATCTGTCTTCCATATCTGCAGAGCGCCTTTGTGGACGAAGTTATGAGCAGCTTTACTGCGAAAAAATTGTACACAAAAATTGCCAAATTAAGCACATTATTGCTCTCTCAGCTCACCTCTAGGCATGGGTCATATGAAGCGAACTAGTTGCATGTTTTGACCCAACATTGAGCCGAGAATGGCTTTGTACGGCAAAGTTTGCACTTTACACGCACAATTTCTTAGCAAAATAATGGCCTTCAACGGCTTATAACTTCCTCCACAAAAGCGCTCTGCAGATAAGAAAGACAGATTTAGAATCAGCGTTTTATGCTGCATCTAATGGTACGCAGCTTGTACGTATTGGCCACTTCGACTTCTGACCATTCCCTTGTAAGTATGAAAATCTGTAAAAAAAATTATGTGAGCTGAAGGCGTGCTTAACTTTTATCGGAGTTGGGTGGCTTTCAAGCCAACTGGAAGCCACTTAACGTGGCTTGGAAAAGAGAAAGTCATAGATTTCATCGCCCTCACATAATTTTTTTACTCTCTTTACATACCTTCCATCTACATCCCAAACCCTACAAATTGGTTCTTAAACCGCCTCAAATCCCTCCTTCCCGCTTAGTTACAGCCCCTTAAAAATATGAGTGGCGATAGCCCAGGCGCGTAGTGCTGCTCGCTGGATACATCATGCCGCCAATCCGGAGACGAATATCATCGCGTTTGTCTGACGCTTTTCCGGCGTTTTTTGTTTTGTTTTGTTCAGTTCCTTTTCATGTATTTTCTCTTCTAATATTTCATGGCGGATGTCGTACTTTAATTTTGAAGTCAAAGTCATCTTGTGCCGAGCCCTGCTCAGTATCTCCGCCGGATTCAACTGTGTTCACCAATAATCTTAATTTTTTTTTGCAAAATTATTAGTTTGAAGAATCCAATTTTTACAAAGACTGGCAACCATTTTGAGCTGAAGTTCACAGAGGATAGTTGAGGAGGAGGATAGTTGCAGCATTATGAAGTTATGATGTGCAAGCAACTTGATTAACAAGAAAATATTGGAAAGTGTCTTCAAAAGGCTACCAAAGAGCGATCGAAACGCGCGAGCTAGTCGTGATTTGATTACAGTCTGCTTCAATCGGGATCAGGCCGAACTGTCCGCGTAAATTTGCGCGCTCGCAGCGATAGCGGTCTGCGCTGCCTGTGCGCGCTGTCGGAGAGAGCAAAACGATTGGAGAGAGAGCAGAGAAGCAGGCCGTGACCGCGAAACCCTTGAGACGCGGACTCCCGCCATACCAATTTTGGCCTGGTTAGGATTGGGGCAGACTGTACGTGATTCTGTATGATGGGTGTACGATAAAATTCCCAATTTACATGGATAGTCGGAGGTTCATGCGTCAAACGTAATACACAATCTGTAAGGAAAGATATGCCGCTACTCCGTCAATTAGAGAAATGGTTTTTAGCATTCGCTAAAAAAACTTTTTCCATATAAACATACTTCCCTTCCCTTCCAATTTCTTCTTTTTTCATTTTACAATATTTGCCCTTGGTAGCAATTTATTCAGCCATTTAATTAGCAAAGAAGCTCGATCGCCTTGCAAAAAAGTTAAATTTCATAAAACAATGTTGGTGCTTGTAAAGCCTTTTAAAACCTCTACATGTACCCCATGTACCATGCAAACAACAAAGAGTAAAGAGTTTTGTGATATGCAAGAAGTTCATATTGAAACGAACTATTAAAGCACATTCTTTCGTTTTCGAGTAATCTTTTCAAATTTGGAAAATTAAAAGGTCAATAGTTATTCCCCCACAATGGTCGGTCGCCTCATCGTGGCGTGGGGGTGACACTGGGTGTCGAACTGCGATGCACAGCCGAGTGTATACTCTGGTAGGGCCTCCCAAGCTGTGAAGGAGTTCGACGTTTCCGGTTTCGGCCGGATGCCTAGCTAAGAACTGGCCACGCCAGATCCTCCGCCGTCTGGCTTCTTCGGTCGCTAGGCAGTCCCTCCCCGCTCCAAGCCCGGGGTCAGCGATCGCCCCGTGGAAATCAAGAGTAGGCCTAGTAAGCCACCTCTTGTAGGGGAACAAATTTTATTAATCAGACAGCAAGAAGATTTAGAAAAAACCCTGTACATCGGATCCCGCCTACGGCGCCGGGTGGTAGCAAGAACGATGTCAGGGTACTCAGGGCGCCTTTCGGATTGGACAAAAACGACACGTCTGCCCGGACGACACGCCATGGAGATTGCCTCATGCTCTGCACCTACAACGCCAGGACAGTCTCCACAAACGCCGACCTACACGCTCTTCTCGACGCTGCAGAGTACATCAACTACCACATCATCGCTCTGCAGGAAACGAAGTCCAGGAAGAAGGACGTGCGACAGATGAGTGATGGGACCCTCATCATTCGTGGTGAAAAGGTTTCATCACGAAACGTGGGAGGCGTCGACTTTGTCGTCCACCCATCTATCGTCCATTTTGTCGATTCGCACGAGATCCTATCACCTCGACTAGGCATCCTACGACTACGACCTCCACATCAGAAGACCATCAGCATCATCAACTGCTATTCTCCAACATCAGCAGCTGACGAATCAGAACTAGATGCTTTCTACGAAGATGTAAAGGAGGTCGTCCGCAACGAGAAGTCCTTTCATAAGTTTGTTGTGGGCGACTTCAACGCGAAAATTGGGATGCCACTAGAAAAGGAATATAGGATCGGGAAGTTTGGATATGGGCTCCGGAACGAAAACGGCAACCGTCTTGTTGGGCTTCTCTCCGCCGCACGACTTTTCCATGGAAATTCCATCTTTACGAAGAAAGAACATCGCCTGTGGACATGGGAATCGCCCAACGGAACGACTCATGCGGAGATCGACCACATTCTCACCAACCGAAGGTGGAGCTTGCTCGATATCTCAGTAGTTCCATCCTTCTGCACTGGCTCCGATCACCGCCTCCTTCGAGCGAAAGTGCGATTCAGTCGAAGGCTGGAAAAGAAGGTCTGCCACAGTGCCGCAAGAAGGAAGAATGTCGTTTATGACGGTAACAGGCTGGAAGAGCTCAGTTGTGACTGGCCCATCGAGGAGGACCCAACGTACGACTACGACCGGCTTCTGAAAGGATTACGAGCCTGCGGAGAGTGCGCCCCAGTGACTTCCGAGAAGTATGTTGAACGCGTTTCGAAGACCACCAAGGAAATGCTTGAAAGAAGAAGATTTCTGAGGCAGGATCCGAATGCAACCCATCTCGAGCGACTGATAGCCAACGCCAGTTGCAGAACAGCTTTGCAGGAGGATCTCAGGAAGTACAGGCAAGCCAAGATACTGGAAGCAGCCGAAGGAAGACGAAGTCTCAAGAAGTGCCGAAGAGACCTCTGTGAATATCGCGTACCGCTGGCTGCACTATTGAACGAAGACGGGACTCCGACTTCTTCCCGATACAAGATGGGATCTATCGCGAAGAACTTCTATACCAACCTCTTCCGCTCATCAACACCCGTGCCGATGCCCGTTGTTCCCACTGGAGAAGTACCACCACGAATTCTACCTGCTGAACTGCGCACAGCGATTCAGACCATGAAGACGTCCACGGCTCCAGGACCAGACCATCTTTCCGTCGAATTTCTGCGAGCTGGAGGACAAAGTCTAAACGAGATCCTCGCGTCGCACCTAACAACTTACCTTCAGAAGGAAAGGATTCCCGACCAGTGGAGAACATCAAGAACCGTCCTTTTTTTCAAGAAGGGTGAACGGGAAGATCTTTGGAACTACCGTCCAATATGCCTGCTGAGTGTGCTGTACAAGCTTTTCACGAAGATTATCCTCGCTCGCATATCTAGGACACTGGATGAAGCCCAACCCCAAGAACAAGCTGGATTTCGCAAAGGATTCAGCTGCATGGACCACATCCAGAAGGTTTCGAGGGTCATAGAAGTCTGCCGGGAATACCGACTGCCTCTCGTCCTAACCTTTGTCGACTACGAGAAAGCCTTTGACAGCGTCGAAACCAACGCCATCCTGTCTGCGCTAGTCGATCAAGGAGTGGACCCAGCTTACGTGAGGACGTTAGCCGACTATTACAAGGACTGTACAACGACGATGCAGCTATTCCATCGCCCCCTGACCATCCCAATTGGGAAGGAGGTTCGACAAGGCGACACAATTTCGCCGAACTGTTCACCGCGGCCTTGCAGTGGGTGATGAAGTCACTGGACTGGGACGAGAAAGGCATACGAGTTGATGGGAGATTCCTGTCGAACCTTCGTTTTGCGGACAACATCGTTCTCTTTTCGAGCAGTATCACTGAAGCAGAGACGATGCTGAAGGAACTGAACGAAGTAGGGAAGAAGATCGGATTGCGAATCAATCGGAAGAAGACTCAGTTCATGAAGAACGCCCTTTGCGAAGATGCAGAAATGGAATTGGAAGGCACCCCTATCACGGAGACGTCTTCTTACGTGTAGCTCGGACGTTCGATGAACATGGAGAACGACTTGAGGGAAGAACTTAACAGGAGAAGAAGAGCAGACTGGGCCGCCTTCGGGCCTCTGAAGGAAGCCACCGACCAACTGACGGACCCGGAGCTTCGTGCCCACCTGTTCGACTCAACCGTTCTCCCGGCGCTCTGTTACGCAGCTGAAACTTGGGCTGACACCGTCGCCACTTCGAAAGCTTTAAGGACCACCCAGAAGCGCTAGAGCGTAGTCTTCTGAAGATGACCCGACACAAACAACATCTCGTCGGACTTCGCAGTACGGATATGAGGAGAATGTCTCGTCTTCGTGACCCAGCGGATTACGTTGCGAAAGCGAAGCATCGATGGGCCGGTCACATCATGAGAAGAACAGACGACAGATGGACATTAAGAACATCGGAGTGGATTCCTCGCGAAGCAAAACGTCCCCGAGGAAGACCACCAACGAGATGGGCAGACGTGTTTGTGGAACGGATGGACCAGCTGAGAAATCAGCTGGATACGATTTCTGCACCTGGAACTCGTGGAAGCAGCCACCGACGTCAGCCAAGAAGATCGTGGATGTCAGAAGCGAGGGACAGGGAGAAATGGAAACTTCTGAGCTGGGGCCCGCAGGTCACGTGAAGCCGGTCCATCTAAGTATCTAAGTAAGTAATAGTTATTTGCACTGTGCAAGCACCGTCACTTTCTTTGATCAGTAGAATTTGCAAGCATAATGTAAGCATTGGCATTCTCAATAAGCTAATGCCTAATAAGATTACTTTTAGCAATCAGAAGTTCAAATATGAGATAATGAAGCAAAATAAACCTATTTCCATATAAACAATAATAACTGCTTTTGTTTTCCTAATAGGCTTATGGCATGATTCAATAGAGCGAAGCGAACTCTATAATTTGACCCCAAAGGTTCGTCTAAATCGTAATCCAGGTAAAATTTGGGTCCAGAAACCAAAAATTTTCGACTACCCTACATATCTGGTCTTCTTCCGGGAAATTCCTACGGGCTTCCTACTTGGTCATTATACAGTAGACACATAGTATACCCAAAAATGTACTTGGTGAATTTTTTCAGAAGCTCAAAATTGAGAAATCAAAATGGTCCGAAAATGCAAAAATGCCACTTTTTTCGGTTTTTTAAATGTTGAAATTGGTATTTCTTGATTACCAGAGCACAAAAAGAAGTATTCTAAGATTATGCTCAATAGAGCTTGTAGTATACAATGACATGTGTGGGAGAGGCTGGGAACGGAGTTTCCATTTTTGAACTACCTTTTTTTCGCCTCCTTAGCCAGAAAAAACCCAGTAAAGACGCATTTACTACTACTATGTTTTTGCTGTATTATGTTCAAGTTTGAGGTCCATGGAATTTTTCATTGAAATAAATTAAATACTTTTCAGGTGATAAATTCATTTCCGATTTTTGCTCCAGACTTTACCTGGATTACGACTTAGGCGAATCCTTGATGGTCATTTTGTTTAGCTTGCTTCGCTCTAACGAATAATACCCTAAGTTTGCCGGAAAAACAAAAAAATAGCTTGATTTATCTATAAAAAAAGTGGAAAAAGGAAGTAACTGCATTTCTACTGCACCTAGGGTAACTTACTTCAGCTAGGGACGTTTTGGAGTCGCATTCCTCTGCTCGTAAAGGCACACGTTGGTAGAGGTTATCCCGCACATCCTTAAATCATATATTAGACTTAAAAGCTCGCCGGATTTTTCAGTGGCCGTAATCATCAACGAACCCAGTGGGTTCCAGAACCTATTAGGTAGGCTCAACCCACAAATCTATTCACGAAACTAGTGGGATCTGGACTCAGTGGGTTAAGCCTACCCAGTGGGTCCCGGAACCCACAAAAAAACTACTTAACCGGTATTCACGAAACTAGTGGGCTCCGGAACCCAGTGGGTTAAGCCTACCCAGTGGGTCCCGGAACCCACAAAAAACTACTTAATCGGTATTCACGAACGCCAGTGGGTTCGCGAACCCAAAAGTCAAGCGTACCGGTATTCACGAAACAAGTTACCCAGTTTTCGTGGGTTCCGGAAACCACTGAGCGCTGGGTTGGCGAACCCAAGCATGGTGCATCCTCATTGGGTTACATGCGAACCCGGTCCTCTTGCTAAATATTGTGTGGGTTTATACAAGCAGGGATGGTTACTACTAGCAACGCATATACATTAATGACACTTTCCATTTTTTATGAATGACAGTAATTTTGTTGTATAAATTTTGATAAGATATTTCACTGATATGTAGGACTAGCAAACTTGATGCCAATTACAATTTGGCAACCTTTAAAGTAGCAAACAAGCTTTTTACGGAAATTTTTGGTGAAAACGTGAAAGCCTATGCATTTTTCGATGTTTGCGCATACTCTCTCGGATTTTTTAAGATACTGCTGCGGCGAAAGAGGGAGCCTCATATAGGAAGCAGAGCGTTTGCTTGCATTCGTGTTACATATTTGGTTGTCCGTGTTTATTCATGTTTGTCTATGTTCGTTTATTCCGCAAATTAGTAAAAAGATTTCAATCCGATCTAGTGAGCAGATTTCAAAAAAGCGGGAAGAAGTTTTTAATCAAAATAATTTGTTCCTTAATTTCGTGGAGTAAAAAATGGGAGGGAAACAAGTAATCATGTAAGTCACGTATTAGTTTGCATGATAGTGAGAAATCTGTACAACGATGATCCCTTTGCACATTCCAATCTAAGTAAAACGCACTTCTCCTACCCTTTGGGCGCCTTCGCCAAGATATACAAAAGCACATTTAGACAATTTTCACATCGGTTATTTTACTTGTTACCAACAAATTTGATCCCTCCTCTCAGGCCAAATGAAACAGCTAAAACAAAAACCTAAAAATAAATAAAAGCGCTGATTTCGACAATAATTAATTGTAGGATTCCGTTTGAAAGGCGTACATATACTTGTTATGTATAGCAAAAGCGTCCCTAAAATAGAACTTAGCTATGCCTTGCACCATGACAATCAATTCAATCTACGTAGATTCACATATGTTAGCTATGTCATGCAATCTTCAAAAGTATGGCTAATATTCTCCTTATGAGGTAAAAAACAATGCTACAAGAAAGATCACTTGCACAAAAAAGCTTAGTGCCCAAGTCGACAGATGTCTGGGTCCGAGAGAATACTCAAAAAAAATATAAGGAAATGCAAGGTCGCACAGAACACATTGATACCATTCATCCGAACATAAGAGTTACCGAAAGCGTGTCAAGCGTACTGGTGCTTTTAGTTTAGCGCGATTCCTGTGTGTCAGAGATATGGTAAAATAGTACACAGACTGGAGAGGCACACTGGTGACGTCATGGATTGGCGAACCAGCGGGGCACTTGTGAGTACCGATCTACCCAGTGGGTTCGCGAACCCACGGAACCCAATGGGTTCCGGAATCCACTGGGTTTGTTGATGAATACGGCCACAGAAAAAAGTCGTTTTAGGTTTTTACAGGCGAATACTATAGTCGAAAAGATATGGCTGCGTTAGCAAAGAGCGCGCTTTTCGTATAGACTTGTTTTTCTGCAATCATTATGTCGTTCCGGAAGCCTTCGTTTCCTTCGGCCGGTTGCAGATTGACAATAGTGACTTTGGAGAGATCTTGAATGCACTCGGTAACTTTACGCTTGTTTTATTGATTATATTTTTATTAAAATGTCTCCAAATTTTCTCCAAAACATCAAATACTGCAAAGAATCAATTTGACACTACTAAGTAAGTTTCCCCAACTCACTTTCTCATAAACCGGCTTCAAAGATGCTATGCGGATAGAGCGATAGTTACGTATGAAGATATTCCTTCAGATTTTTCTACCGGCTTCTCCTAATTTCAAGATTTTTGATATTTCCTTAGTATGGTTTTTGCTGACAAAGATAGCATGTAAACTCAAAACGTTGTAATTTGAGTTGAAGCGGAGTATATTCAAAATCGACAGTTTGATGGGCAAATCAGCAGTTGTAGAACATGATAGTGTCGACCGCTATCATGGACTATAGTTGTTTAGTAATATATTTCATTAGTTTAACATTTCAAAACAGAAATGATTTCCTGGGAAGTTGTCTCTAATCGAAGCGCCCATTTCAAAAGATACGTATCGTCGTCTCCCCGCGATAGATGGGGCGTGTCGTTTGCAAAGTCCGCAGATGTGCGTGTTTCGTATGGTGCTAGTCGGCGTGGCTTTGCCAACGTTGCCAACGTATGCGCGTGGCAGTTTTTGGCAGTTAGAGGGTACGAAAACTAATGTTATACAGTGCTGGACATAATTATAGGGACACTCTAGAAATCGTCGTAATTTTCGTTCTTGTCAGTGAATCTGTCTGAAACTTTGCTATATGGTGCGCATGTAAGCCTACCATAACTCATCAGAACGGCTTCCAATCTCGTTGATTCCGAACGGAGAAAAATGGAAAAATTCGAAAAAGCCTGTTTTGCAAGCTGGACATAATTATAAGGACACCTGGCCTTTTTAAACATTATCGCATTCCTTGACTCCCAAATTTTTTTGTAGAGTTACATCCCAGAATATGAAACTTTTGCAGCACCTAAGACCTGTCATGCTACTCAAGGAAAGATGATCCTTGCATTTTTCGTTTCCAAAGGCATCAGAAGTCAAACTGCGTCAACAAACAGCTGGTTTGAGGAGTTTTCAAGCCCGCGTTCATTTCAAATGACAGTCCTGGAATACACTTAGCCTTTTTGATAGATAAGGTGAAGAGCGCTTTCGCAAACTTCGCGTAATCGCTAATTTTGACGGACAGACTCCAACCTCAACATAGGGTTGTCGCGCTTTTAAACCACAAAACTCGATTTTCAAGTTACAGAAAACGCTGCAATGTAGCCGCAACAATGCACGTACAACAATAAACTTGTGTGCCTAGTCAGGAAAAAATTTCGGGGTTGCACATTCTGGTTCAGCCGCAGTTGTTCCGTTGAGAGTTGAGTCGAGCACCCTGCACAATCATATCCAACTCAAATCAAGAAATCGAACAGGAGACCGCTTGAAACTTCAAAATCTTGCTAATCTCAGCTACCGCACAAAATGCGACATGAAACAGAGAATAAAGTAGTGAGATTTGTGATTATGTTGAATCTACTGCTCGCATAGAATTTTCGTTGAAAGTATATCAGATCTAAATGGCAACTGCAGCACTAGAAAAAATCTAAAAGTTGTTGCAAAAGATGCATCTCCATGTAGACAATGTAATAAATCGAGTCCATCACTTCACGAACATTGGAAAGTGAGTTTTGTGGTGCAAAAGCGCGACAACCCTATTGTGAGGTTGGAGTCTGATTGTCAATATCAGCGATTACGCGGAGTTTACGAAAGCGCTCTTCACCTTATCTATCAAAAAGGCTAAGTGTATTCCAGGACTGTCATTTAAAATGAACGCGGGCTCAAAAACTCCTCAAACCAGCTGTTTGTTGACGCAGTTTGACTTCTGATGCCTTTGGAAACGAAAAATGCAAGGATCATTTTTCCTTGAGTAGCATGACAGGTCCTAGGTGCTGCAAAAGTTTCAAATTCTGGGATGTAACTCTACAAAAAAAAATTGGGAGTCAAGGAATGCCATAATGTCTAAAAAGGCCAGGTGTCCTTATAATTATGTCCAGCTTGCAAAACAGGCTTTTTCGATTTTTTCCATTTTTCTCCGTTCGAAATCAACGGGATTGAAAGCCGTTCTGAGGATTTATGGTGGGCTTACATGCGCACCATACAGCAAAGTTTCCGAAAGATTCACTGACAAGAACGAAAATTACGACGATTTCTAGAGTGTCCCTATAATTATGTCCAGCACTGTATGATGAAGATTTAACAAGTATTTAGACGTGGCATGTATATACGTGCCACGCCATGGCTAATACCGTACGAAATACGCACGTCTACGGACTCTGCAGACGACACGCCCCATCTATCGCGGGGAGACGACGATATATTGTTGAAGCCAATAATGAATGCTGTCAAACTACAAATCCATCTGCGGAACGTTCTTTTGGAAAAGGTTGTGGCGTCAGAAGCAAAATGCGAAATCCTAGATTCGACCTGCAACACTTAGTGCTACATGCGACCACATTTGCACTGCATCATTCTACCACTCTGCACGTACTACATGCTCCCATACCAAGCGATGTTTCAAATATGTTCAAGATCGCGAATTGGAAAAGCCTCAGCAGATTATGATTGCAGTTTTCAGATCGGCATTTATCACTGAAGCAACATATTTCTCAACTTGTTTAAAACATTTACGTACATGATAGATAAGAACGTCCTCAATTGGATTCTAGATTATTATCGAATAGTGCCTGAACTACAAAAGTGGAGATACAGATCTGACATTTCGCGATAGGGAGAACAGGTGTAGAGAAAGAACGAAAAGTGGTGGTAATTTTCAACTCGAGAAAGTAAACGTTCTCTGGAAGTTCTGAAAGTATCATCGGCTTTCAGATTCGTGTGGAGGTGGAGTTTTGCCAACTCAGCGCTTGGCGGTTTTTGGTAGCGAGAGAGTACGAAAAGCAATGCTATGACGTGGAGATTCTACTTTACCTGTGTTATCAGGCAAAGTCTGCAGTACACCTTCACACGAATCTGGAAACCGATCATACTTTCTGGCTATTGTTTGCACCATTTTCTTATAAGGCCCTCTTCCAAGAATTGTGCGACTCATGTGACCTAAGCTCACACATCCACTTCAATTTCATCTCTCCGCTCTTCACATTACAATTTCTGATTGCAAGTAAATCAAATGCCGTAGGAAGACGGGCATAGAAACTGTAGGCATTAAAAGTACGAGAACATAAGCTTAAGTATGTTACTAAAAACGAGTTGATTTGTCCGAAGATAACGTGAAGGCATGCGTCTCTCTTATCGCGAGAACATTGTAGTGCAAGAAATTGAAGTGACACATCATGGCTAGATTGTTTGTGCAACGATTGCGTATTTGCATATAGATGGATAGATATCTAAATATGTCTATAATTTACCCCGTCGTTAAGGGAGTCGAATTTCCACACGCTTCAAAAACAGGCTTGATTGTGTGGTTAACAAGTTTACAACAATTTACGTGGTTGAAAATAAATTTATCATCTACTTGAAAACGGGAAGGAACCAATTCACGCTTACTTAAAGACTGTGTCAAAGCCTTACATTTTCTTAATCACAAAATGGATGGTAGCCCAGCAGCAATATCACTGAAATAATCGCTTGACCGTAACTAAAGAGAGATAGATTACGCCAACATGCAGCTTATTACCAGGCAGCATGACATGAGGCAAACAAACGACAATCATAACATTCATCAAAGTTCATATCGTTTTAGAATGTCGTTTTGAATTTCGCAGATCGATTGGCTTATTGTTTTTTATCACGCAAAACATTCAAGAGAAAACGGCCACATTCCATCAACATGAAACCTTCTATTACCAAGAGAGTATCGAACTCATGTGAATAGATGAAAGAACAAACAAACCATCAAGTGCACCGTATCGATCACCGTTCAGCTGCAACTGCGCCCTTCAACGACCGTGCTGCGAAAGTGGCGTTCCAAATGATCAATGTGTCCATTTCACGAAAGCCACGCACACTATTCGTTGGCATTCTCTGGTAGTATCTCAGACACTTTTTCCGACGGCCCGCGCGCTTTCATGAGCCTACCGTGCGAGCGGCGCGCCTAGATTTGTGGGCGTGGCATCGTTTCCGACGGGCGGCGCGCCATCGAAAACTGCCGTGCGAGCGGCGCGCCTTGCCTTCGACGGGCGGCGCGCCATCTTGAGTGACCGGGCGAGCGGCGCGCCATCAACAAACATGTAAGAACAAAGAACATGTAACTTAACAAGACGCGTAAGCATCATTTTGAATTCATTGTTAGCCGTAGGGGGTTGCATTTGTTATCGCATCTTGGTTGCTTGTCCGTTTTGCCATCTAATCGTCTCCATTCTTTGTAAGTTTTTTCTGGTTCACATGTGTACAGTCATTGTCATCCATGTGCTCCCTATTCCGTAGCATCTGAGCGTCCGTATTGCGTCCGCTATTCGGCTATCCGGGCCCCAAAATTTTTTTGTCATGGATTTCGCTCAAACTTGGCCTAGAGGAGTTATCTGAGGCGCTGATCACGAATATCACCTTTTCACCGCAGGAAAACGCCTCCATGCACGGTTACGGTTGGTATACGGTAGGGGGCCAACATCATAGATTTGCCCGAAACTTGGCCCAGAGGGGTTATTCGGCCCGCTGATGCTGAATATCACATTGGTTTTGAACCGTAGCGTCATTTTCTCGGATTACGGTAGCTGCACGATGACGGATGTAAAACGTAGTTCTGCTTCAAACGGGTGTACGTCGATTCGGACGATCTGAAGCTTTGCACACACGACCACCTCCGTGCGCTACACACCCTGCTGCGGCTTTTGCCTAAGCAAAGCACGGGAAAAGATACATTTGCCAATTTGTGATTTCGGCCCCTACCGTAACTATGCAGGAAGATTTTCGTGCAGAGTGGTTTTTTGGTGCCATCACCAGAGTTGTTTACTATGCTTTTTCCTGTTATTACAATATTTTGAAAGATGTATCGGACCGCGGTCAGTCTCAAGCGTAAATCTGGAGGAACACAAACGTATGCGAAGCCTAGACCTGTTTTTCCACCATGTCTCACTGGGTATGTTTGTTATCTGGTTCTATTAGCTCTAGTAGTTTTGTTTTCAGTAGAGAGAATCCTTTTGTGGAAAATATTGTCGAAGACGAAGCGGCACCCTCAGATATCCAGATGGAATTAGAAGTTCCACAAGGTTCATAGCTTTTGCTTTTTTTCCTTTCTGTTATGTTTCCTAGACTTTGTTTTTCAGGTAACGTGTACGAAAGACGCGAGTTTCACATTGAAACTCCCCTACGAGGAGTTCAGCCTCTTCCGTCGCCTAGATCACTTCATGAATGCGTTGAGAACGGAATCTTGCACATTGACAGGGCAGCCCGTTATTTTATCGAAGATGCATCGCCAGGAGTTTAACGAAGCGGTCTATTACGTAAGTACGAGTACACTGTTTTTGATAAAAACATACAAATTCTTTCTAGGAGTTTATCAGATCCGATATCGTATTACGCGCTAAAGTCACTTACGGCAGTTTGAATTGCATGGTAGGATCGGACATCCACTCGCTATGGCATATTGCTAATCGCATGACAGTACGGCTGCACATTCTGGGATGTCATATATGCTTTGACTTGCTCAACCTGATTTAGGACTGATTCAATTCAATTCATCCTGATTCAATCTGATTTTTTCTTTTTGTGTTTTCTTTACAAGTATTGTTCAGTGTATTCTCTTTAGTGTTTCATCTTTCGTAATATAATGGTACCTTGCTTCAAACTTTCATCAAGATCTCCGTGTTCACTGCCTCAGTGTCATGATTCTGACAGGATTCCGGTTTTTTTTTGCTTAATCAGGTCATTCTTACCGGTGTCTATCAGTGCTTTCTCAGTATCAGCATGACTGTTATGCTTTACGTGTATTCGGTAGGGGTTAGCGTAAAAGGTATTGATGATTTTATAGTTGTTGCCTGTTGTGTTCTGCTTTCGATTCTGTATTATGTCTTTATATAAGTCTTTGGAAAATAAATCTGCCATAATCATACCTGTACACATGTTTGGCAATAAATCTGAGGGTATGAGGTCGTATTTCAATGACAAAATATGAAGTTTATCAAAGGATTGCTATCTGTATCACAATAGGGTCCTACAACGCTTTTGAAGGAGCGGGCGAGCGGCGCGCCTTCAGCGAGCGAGCCGCGTACCTTCATTCCACGGGCGGCGGGAGGCATGAGCGCTCGCACGCTCAAGGCGCGCGGGCCGTCGGAAAAAGTGTCTGAGATACTAAAAAAGCTTATTCTGTGTAGAGAATACGAGGTTAACCGTTCAAAACATTACAAGATAATTATTCTCTTCACACAAAAACCAGAGGCTAAACATTAATTTCTCAGCAGAAAATCGAGGTCGTCAACGATCGTTGCCATCACTTATGAATATGGTCCAACAAACCAATGCCACTACAGCGGACTTTAGTCACCCTCATGGGGTAGTGGAACGAACTCTGTCAGTTTTAGGCCGCCTTCTTTAGCAACTGGTCCTTTCGCTCTTAAGAAGTGCCGAAGGGATCTCTATGAATATCACGTGTCGCTGGCTGCACTGTTGAACGAAGACAGGACTCCGACTTCTTCCCGATACAAGATGGAATCTATGGCAAAGTATCATCGCCCCCACGATTCGTGTAGAGGCGGGGTTTTGCCAACCTAAAGCGTGGCGGTCTTTGATAGCGAGAGAGTGCAAAAAACAATGCTATGACGTGGAGGTTCAACAAGTTTACCTGTGTTATCAGGCAAAGTCTGCAATACACCTCTGCACGAATTGTGGAGACGATCATACTTCACCACCAAGCTTTTACGCTCACCAACACCCGTGTTGATGCCCGTTATTTCCACTGGAGAAGTACCACCATGAAAATTACCTGCTGAAGTGCGTATCGCGATACAGAAAATGAAGACGTCTACGGCTCCAGGACCAGACCATCTTTCCGTCAAACTTCTGCGAGCTGGAGAACAACGTCTACACGAGATTCTCGCGTTGCACCTGACATCTTATCTACAGAAGAAAAGGAATCCCGACCAGCGGAGAACTTCAAGAACTGTCCTTCTCTTCAAGAAGAGTGGACGGGAGGATCTTCGGAACTATGGTTCAATATGCCTGCTGAGTGTGCAAGCTTTTCACGAAGATTATCCTCGCTTGCATATCTAGGACCCTGGATGAAGCCCAACCTCAAGAAAAAGCTGGAATTCGCAAAGGATCCAGCTACCTGGACCACATCCAGACGCTTTCGAGGGTCAGAAGTATGCCGGGAATACCAATTGTGTCTCGTCCTAACCTTCATCGACTACAAGAAAGTCTCTGACAGCGTCAACTCAAAGCTACCTGTCTGCGCTAGTCGATCAAGGAGTGGATCCAGCTTATGTGAGGACGTTAGCCGACTGCTACAAGGACTGTACAACAACGTCAGCTATTCCATTGCCCCAGACCATCCCAAATGGGGAGCGGGTTCGACAAAGCGACACAATAATGAAGTAATTTATAAGCCTGTTTCGCCTCTACCCCTAGACAGGAGGAATGATAAGTAGTAAGCCACTCCCGAGGCTCATCAGTAGGGAGGAGTGGTAGGAGGGTAATGGAATGGCGACTACAGTGGATCGTTTGTTTATATAGGGTGGGGTAGGTCAGAAAGGAAGGTCAAGACTAGGTATTCAATTTTTAGGTTTAACATTCATGAATTATTTTTCTAACCAAATTTTTTACGTTTTTGAATTTTTCAAGCTGTATATACTTGTACGTAATATTTTTATTGTAAACCAAACATTTTAGCACTGAAAACTGAATTATTTCTTTTTTATAACCTAGATTAGCGAAATGGTGAATACAATTGATCAGCCTGTTTTCGAAATCTTTATATAATGAACATGTTCTATAAATTCTCAGTACTTCAGTATAGATTATTGCTATTTTTAAACGGTTGCTTATATTAGATGATCCATGGGAAAACCTAGAAACAAAAAAGTTGAAATCGTCAGTTTTATTGTATTGTTTGGTAATGATTGAGTCATTTTGAATTATTATATGCAAGTCAAGAAAATGACACTCATATTGAGACTTGTGAGTAGTTTCTAGTTTCAATATATCATTATATATCAGGTTAAGCGTGTTAATAAGCTGGCTTTCTTCGTGATTGTAAATTATCAGTATGTCATCCATGTAGCGATAAGCCTGAAGAAAGTGTGTGGGATTCAAGATCTTACTAGTGTATGTGTATTCCATGTATGAGAGCGTTAAATCAGCTATAACGGGGCTGGCATTTCCGCCCTGAGGAACTCCAATTGTTTGATGATAGAGGTTATTTCCAACTCTGCAGTAGCTGTTTCTGAGAATAAAGTCCAACAAGTATATTAAATCTTCTATCGTGTAGTATCTACACCTTTCATCAGCTTCCTGGCTGGATACATATGCTACCTTGTTGGATTTGTTGATTTTCAGATACTTTCTATTTGCGTTTTTAAAGCAAATCTTCATGATTTCTTTCAGGTTTTTGATAATGATTTGATGAGGAATGTTAGTAAACATGTTGGTGAAATCGGCTGAAAATAATTTTTTATTTTTTATGTCAATCTGCATTAAATCATTAGAAATGTTAATGTCTTCTATAGACCAATATGTTTGCAAGCAACGTTTATTTCTATGTACAGTCCGTGTGTAATTTTTGAAATGTACTTTTATGAAGCTCAATAGATGCAGTAGTTCTACTGCGATGCCTTTAGTACTACTATTATAGGCTCCAGTGATAAATCTGAATTTTATAGGATCTTTATGTAGCTTTGGGATACAATATATAATAGGTATGGTATCATAATCAGGATTGTATATGCCTAAGTTCTTAGAGAATGAAATATGTTTAGAGATGATTTGTTGAAGTGTAATACTACTGACTTTTGTATAAGTATTCTTTTCGTTATTGTCAACTGTTTCCATTTCTTTTAATAAAGTGGAAAAATACAATTTTTTGCATACAATCCCATAATCTGAACTAGCTTTGTCAAGTGGACATATAACAAAATATTTGTGAATGAAAGCTAGCTCTTCTTTATCTATTTCATTACTGGTGGAACTTCCTTTATTATAGATGAGTTTGGTAGATATCAAGGAAAAATTCCGCAGTAAAGTGCTTTGAACTCGGTAGTAATTATAAGTGTTCAAATGATATAGTTTCTTTAATTTTTCAATGAATGTATTAATGATATCTGACCAAAGTTGTTTAATCTTTCTGCGTTTGTAGTCAAATGGTAATCTAAACTTAGTACCTTTCTTAAGGATTTTATAGATGTCAAAATCACCTGTAACTACGTGTCCATGGTGGTTTGAAATGTATGAGTTGTAGTTGTTGCATATACAAGGTGTGGTATCTACTTCAGAATCTTGTACGGTTCTCAAAAACTTATTGTAATTGAATATAGCAGTGGAAAAGGGATTGTTATAATTAAAAATTACTCTGACTTTCTTGTATTCTTGATTAGTTTCTCTAATTATAGTTTTTATGATATTGTTATTGAAAATTTTGTTCAAATTTATGTTGTCGAGAATGGAGTCATAAAAAGGAATTTTAATATTGACAAAACGTTGATAATTGTTGGTAACCTTGGTAGGTTTTGGAAAATGATAGTAGCAAAGTGTACTAAGTAGAATTATTTTATTTTTTTGTGATATGTTAATGCTATGAGGCATAAAAGTGAAGTAATGTATCAAAGTTTTGATATAATTACTATCTTTGGTTTTCAAGAAAGTAAAGATATGATAAGGTCTAATAGTATGTGAGAATAAGTTTTCAATTTCACTAAGGATGTCTTCTACGCTAGAATTCGATTTTTTCCTATGCTTATGATGACCTCTATTTGTACGTTCCTTTAGTATCTTTAGACTAAAGATTGGGTGAGGTTTTGTATGTGTAAGTGGGTTTTCTATGAAAGAAAGGTTACCATATCCCTTGATGTTATCATTGAATCCAAAAGGATGTGGAGTGACTAAACCGCGGCCTTGCAGTGGGTGATGAAGTCACTGGACTGGGACGAGAAAGACATACGAGTTGATGGGAGATTCCTGTCGAACCTTCGTTTTGCGGACAACATCGTTCTCTTTTCGAGCAGTATCACTGAAGCTGTGTGTCCAATTTGGGTGTCCAATTTTTTGAGCCAAGAAGCGCTCGTAAGTCGCGGTCTAGAGGCGCTTGGCAAATAACAAAGACACCTTTGGAATTAGCGCTCACTGCTCTTCAGATTGAGTTAGAAGCATGGAACGACTCACCCACAATCCACTACAAAGCGGTGCGACTCATCAGATAACTGATCCACATACTGCGATGATTCTCTGATGTGTCACACTCTGCCTCCTGCTCTCCCTCACTTTCAGCTTCCTCTTAACAGTGCAACGGATATTACTCAATATTGATTGATGAGTAAAACAAGGAAAGCTGAATATAATAGAGTTGTTGAAAAATCAATGCGGCGACAGCTAAATGAAGCCGAGTTCACAATCACTTTCTTTATAATACCAAAGTTTCTGGGAAGGGGCTTGTACAATATCCAAAAAGGGCATACAGAAAAGCGTCACAGTCGAGTAGATTGTCGGTAAATACAGTGCCCTTGCGGTGCCGCGAAGTCGCGGTAAAATTTGCGCGCGAACACTATGCTAAGCCAGATACACCGGTAAATTGGGCGTGCGAAATGGATGCATTAACGAACTAAAGGCTATTGCAGAACGAAGGCATGGGAGCAGTATTAGCTGAGAGGGAGCAAACGCGGCGCGCGGGTATCATTACCGTTGTGAACCCTACGCTTCCTGCGCTCTGCGGCTAAAAAAGCCGCATTTGCGCCCAAAAATATTGCATCTTCGTCATGCAGTAGCCTTTATAGGGGCCTGCATGATCACAAGAGTCGGACGTGCGTACGGCCATTGCGCCGCGCACGTCCGATGTCACTGATGCAAGCGCCAGACTTATCCTGTTCAACTGATCTCCGGCTAACTCTTTGCTACTGGTCAAATCGATGCACTGACCAATAGCAGGGGGAGGGAGGGGTGGACCGAATGAACCAGCTCAACAGGGTACGTCTGGCACCTACCTGAGCCGTAAGAAGGACATCGGACATGCGCGGCGCAACGGCCGTACACACGTCCCACTCTCGTGATCATGCAGGCCTATAGCTATTCCTTCACGCACAATGTCGGTTAATAAGTGTCCTTGCGCTGCCAAAGAGCTGCGGTGAATTTTGCGCTCACTCAAATCACCGCAACTTCTCGACCGCAAGGATACTTATCTACTAAAAAATCTACTCCACCGTACACTCCTATAGAAAGTGAGTGCATAAGCAAACTTTCGTTCAGATCTGGAAGTTGAATGTGCAGTAGAACAATAGACCCGATGCTATGCAGAGCGGTTTTATTTTTAACGATCAGTTGCTACTGCAAGAATGCAAGTCAATTCCTTGACATAAGCCCGCTAAAAGAGATGAAGGCCATGACCTGAGCGTGAAGCGTTGTACCTTGAAAACATTGGAGACTTACACTGTTCAATAGCTTTTCACTGACTATGAGCGAAGTAGCAACGAGCAATCAGCTCCTTTTTGAGATAGCGATTGATCATCAATTTGACCAGAGTAACATAGCTCTGGATTTCAGGGTTACAGCGTTTGCCGTTCGATATTTGCTTATTTATTCGAAAGTTCGACGATTTCGCGGTAGCAATGGCTCAACATTCTCTGTCTATCATCGTCGATATAAATAAACTGCTTCTAATGACAGAATGAACTGCGTTAGAATTTCCTATTCGACAAGGAATCTTCATGTTTTGGAGTATACACATTGCAGAATGTCGATATTTTATTGATATTACACATGGATAAATGCTGATAAACCAAGATGATGTAGTCAACAAATCAGTTCGCCTGTTGATAAAATGCGCAATACCGGTAGTCTTCTCCATCGCACAAGGTGTACATCCAGCAAACAGCAATTCTCGTAATAATGTTGAGGTAGCCTTACGATCAGCTATTGTTCAAAGTTTGTATGTATGGCCGTTCCTGGAAAAAAAATGGAGATACTCGCCAAACATTGTGAAGGGAGACATGACTTTGAGAAGATACTGCGCATATATGGTACATTGGCAGGCTTTGTACTATCGGAGTGACATTAAACAGTGTTGGAGAAAACTTTGAAGATTTGAAAGTTATAAGGCAAAGCTGTAAAAGTTTTCCAACTTGCCATGTAAGGTTACTTAGGAGCAAGAGTGCTTGCAAAATTGGATTATGCTGTCAAAGTTGTATTTCAGATATGAAAGTTCGTATCGAAAAGCCGTGTATAACTAACAATAAGACGAAATTGGATACATAGCGAAAAGATCGAAAAGCAAATAATTATTCAAAGGCTAACATTTTGAGGTTTGCAAGCATAGAAGCAGCGTCCGGTTCCCGACTCCAATTTTTTACCTCATCCAGACCTTTTCATGGCTGTGATTCCAAATATCGCACTAAGAATCCCCCTCCCCAGATACTCCTTTTTTGGCCACTTTGTAAGATCCGTGGATGAGTGTCCTGGTCCTATCCTTGTCAAAAGCAACCAACTGAAAGGTTAAAGGCACCGTCTACCCAAATTTTCAACTTCCATGTTTTGTCGCTTTCAGGCCTTCGGAAGGGGGATAGATTAAGACAGAAAGCATGCGTATAGGTTAAGACAAAAAGCACGAAATTCATGACTTGGGGGTTACTGATTTCCCAATGTCCTGCGTTTTCAGTGCTACATAAGCCAGAAATGTGGCATACCTTTGTTGGACATCTCAGCGGTACCGAATCGTCTCCTAGATTTATTCTTGTAGTTTTGTTCCCAACAGGTGTGAGCATTGCATTCCATAAAAACTTCCCGACGACTGCATTTCCGTATTTGCTCAAGTGAAACATGTCCGTAGCATAGAACGACTTATCGTAAACGCCATCTTTCTAAAAAAAAACTTGAATTTTTACGTGCAAAAAAAAAACGTCATCAGAAAATGTGATGATATAGGCTTGCTTTGGCTGAAACATGAGCTGATCGTAGCACCATGAGAAAGAAGCTATTTGAACAATTTAGGATGTGCCTTTTCGTTAGATCACGTAGGGTGAGTCTACCCCAAATATCCATATCAAAATATGTATGTATGCAGAAAATTAGGGGGTAGCTTTATATTTTATGCAGAGCTAGAAGCTGGCATTAGAGGAAGTTCAAAATGAGGTCCCCTTTAATCTTGAAATCTCCTACAAAGTCATCTTTGACCTTAAACGCCAAACTTAGAAAAACCCTCAACCTCGCAGTTTTTGTGTCTTTTGGGTCACAAAAACGATAATACCTTTGATTTGTCCCAAAAACAATATCCAGCTTGACCCGGTGCCATCTGTGCAGAGCCCTGATGTTATCAAATAAAGAAATAATACCATTACATTTTTCCGCAGGTATCATTTCTCAGATTATTGTTTCAGACTAGCAAATCAAACGTAGAAACGCACCATTAGCTACATATAGCCCGCTGCATACCAGTCAGCACTTTTCGAGTCAAGATGTCAGCACCTAGGCACACAACGTGACATCGTGGCACTTGAGAGCTTTGAGAACGGAATCTTCTTCAACATCGCCAAAACAACCAGTTTTGTGCTTTTATATGTAAGTGTGATTAGAAAAATCAGCACGGAACAATGAGTGGAAGGAAGAGGAGGAAAGAAAAAGAAAAGATAGCAGCGATGGTTCTGTAATTCCTGTAGAAAAAGTGACGAGTGACAAGAAATAATGCGGCATTAGCGTTTGGGGCTTGAGTTGATAGTACATTCATGAAAAAAAAGTTACGACTTTGCTGAGGTCTAGGCCACCTTAGCTCTGAAGAAGCTTAGCTCTTGATCTGTTACAGCAATGAAACAATAATGTTTTTAAGATAATAAGTGTTCTCTATGAACGTCACGCAGCTGCAGCAAAATCTACACTAAAAGAAAACCCTTGATGGCACCGAGGGGAACACACAGGACGCACAGTTACAAATAAGAATTTTTTCCTGATCAAATGAGGCAGGAAGAAGTCCAGCATTCGGAGATCATTCTTCACCTCGCAAAAAAAATATATCAAAATTTATTTTCGCACCAGGATTGGTGTGAACTAGAATATTTTGCTGCCTCGAAAGACGAGTAGAGAAGCAAGTTCTGGTGTAAAAAATGCAATCATGTTGTAGCTCACATTTCTAAACGCGTCTACAATTTCGTCCATGAAACCTTGCACGACCACAGTAAAATCTTCATCGTCGAACATTCTCTCGTTTTGAATCTCATAAGCCACCTAGAATGCAAAATTTGAGGTGATACAAGAACTTAGAGTTTTTTTGGGAAAAAAAATTACCCTATTTTCAGGTGTATAAGCCGCACCCCTTTCACTCTAAAGGCGAACAAGCCAAAAGACTGACTGTCATCACGGAGCGCGTTAAGTGAGAGCAGTATGCGATAAGGCGACCGCTTCGCGAGACATATGCGCGGCGGCACGCCTGGGTCTGCTCGCGTTTAGAGCAAAAAGGGTGCGGTTTATACACCTGAAAATAGGGTACTAGGCATTTGTTGCAAAATATCAGCATATACTTCACGGTAACAAAAAGCAAAAATTACCTTCCTATATTCGCCACAAAGAATGTCCCGCTTTTCCATGTAATGATCACCGCATTGCAGTCGTTTCCTAGACTATCACATTTTCGTAGAAAGACAGTAATTAAAGAAAAGGAACTGTTTCTGTGTTTTCAATTTCGTGGAAACATTGCTTTAACAATGAAGCGCATGTATAACGCCCTTTGACGACTTAGTTCACCCATTCTCCTGCTCAAATGCATGAAAGCCACCACTTACCCTTCAAGGATCAAAGACCGCGCGTCAATTGTCAGTTGAGAGTTCCACATAGGAATTATAGAAATGATGGTACGATTGAGATTTTCTCTCAACAATGAGATTGCCTTCACAAGATTAGCTTTGTAATCTTCACGGCTGACAGGTTCCTAAGGAAATACTTTAGTGACCGTGAGTGAAAGGTGATTGATACACTAACTTTATCTATTGTGCACCTGAGCTTCCCCAGATCATTCGTTCCAAAAAATATTGATACAAGCTTCCAGTCCTCCGTTAAGCTGATCTGTAACATATGGTAAACAATACGCTGAGAGCTTATGAAAAGCAGTTTGAGGGAACACATAGAAGGAACAATGCATCTGACCTTAAGAGCTTTGATACGTTTCCGTATGTTTCGAACAAATTTTGCAAGTTACATAATCTATTAGGTTGGCTAAAAATAATATCGTCGTTTTCAAAAGCTTATAGATATGTCACAGATACATTTGTATATAATGGTATGGTACCTTTCGAATGATTAAATCAAGGAGAAACGGATGTAACTTTGTTTGCTTAAAGAATAGTTTCTTGTAGAATAGCTCACAAAAAATCACAGCTAAAGAACAAGTATATCTACTTGAGTTTTCATCGAGTTGATCGAGTTCGAAGTTGCATGTTAAAACGAAATTGTCTATTAGCCAACCTAATATATGTAGTGAATTGATTAGGTTTTCAAGTAACAAATAACATTCTCCGATAGCACCTTAGGCTGACCTTAGTATCTTAGCAAAGGGTACTCGTGACATGAACTTGGACTAACTTTGCTGAATTTCCATACTTTAAGATGAGAACTTGAAATAAAATTTACTATCGCTGCTTTTCTGATAGCACTAAAAAATGTTGGACACGAAGAAGCTTGCTTGATAAGGGTCAATTTCACCCAGCTCCTATGATCAAAGAAATCCCTGACCATGAGTGCTATGCAGAGTCAAAGCTCAAGTTATTGACAGATTGAGTTGCTCTAGCTTTTCTCATCTGCAGGACTGATTGCAAGGCTATTTCATCACATATAACTTTATGCATACTTATACATGGATGATGCTGAGTTTGATTCACTTGATTACTTTGTGCAATCTGCGAGTAGAAGCCGTTTTATGGAGTCTCATCATGTAACATTAGCACATATTTCTCGATGTACTATTTGTAACCTAAGAAGCTTTTCTGACCAACCCCTTTTTGCTTCAATCTGGTGATGAGATCGCTTGCTTGCCTCGGTATGTCTTCACTAGTCATTCCGCTAACAGCGACATTGAATCCAGTGTTTTTATAGTCGATGCCATATGACAGTCCCAGAATTTCGTGGTTGAATTCTCTTAGAACCTCTGTAATTACATGAATCAGTAACAGTAGGTAACCTAGGAACTTTAAAATTTGCTTACTTCCTATAGTGATTTGTTCTTGCAAAGAACCATCCCCTCCGCTAATGTAGGAGTTGCCTGGATAAAGAGACCAATCATGTTCTTCCTCGAAATTTTTCGAACGTGCGGCCACCTTCAAAGGAGTGTAAATGATGCGAGAAATGGCATGGGACCACTTATTGACTATAATATAAGTTTGTCCCATAAGTTCTGCCCGTTTTAATTTTCACTGGCAATAAGTCGTGCACTTTGATACCTGGATAGGTGTCAAAGTACCATCCGACAGAGCTAAGCAAGCTCTATAGGCATTTTTGCTTCTGCACCAGCTTTGATCCACCTTGAGTCTAAAGCCAAAAAATAAAATGATTTGAATGCCCGGAAAATCGAGAAATATTGCAATCGCGTCCAATAAAATACTATAAGTGCTAACTTGCCCACATAAACACTATTAACATATCACATTTATATACTTTTTACCGTAATTTTTCCTCTGTTGGAAATCAAGATAACGAAGATTCCAAGCTTTTTCCAAAGTGGTGTTGTGCTGTCCCTACAGATTAATTGTCTACTCTAAAAGTACAAACACAGATTTGCAGCTCTCTACAAGCTCTAGTTTTCGAGAAATATGAATTTTAGCGTAAGTCTCCCAACTAAGGGAAACTATATTCGATATTTCTCTAAAACTAGAGCTTGCGAAGAGATGAAAATTGTGTTTTTGATCTACAGGCCAGCGTACAATTACTATGTAAGGATAGCACCGCATCACTTTGGTAAAAGCATGATTATCTCCGTTTTTCTGATTCTTTACCAAGGAAAAAACACGGCAATGGCGTATGTAAATGACTTATGCGAATAGTGTTTACGTGAGCAAGTTAGAATTTCTGTAGGATTTTTTGAACGAGTTACGATTTCTCGACTCGGACAATTGAATCTTTTCAGCTTTCGGCTTGTAAATGGAGATGGACGACATCTGGTGCAAAAGTAAGAATGCTGCATAGCAGAACTTGCTTTGCTCTATCCAATGGTGCTTTGAAACCTATTCAGCTCTTGAAAGTACATGATTTAGTGCGATTGAAAGTCAGAATGGATGGAATTTATTGGAATCTGCTATCTTCAAAAAAGTCATCCCTTCCATCTTGTTATGCCGCATTTCTAGAAATTCGATCTTCAATGGTTTGGACTCGTTTCTAGAATTTGGTAGAAGTTCAGGGTAGTTTTTTGCATTGCTAAGAAATCACGATATCAAATTTTACAGCCAATATAATGAGCCGCATTTTTCATCGGAAAGGGCAAAAGTGCAGCTAAGATGTTTGAACACACCTTCTTCGAGTTGACTAACTGCCAAGAAACTTAGTGACTTAGGGCTTTACCGTTATTGAATTCCCCATAGCAGCAATAACTTTGCGATCTGCAGGACGGACTTTGTTAACGTTTTCCGGGATCTTCAAGGACGGCTTCATGACTTCCGCGTCGCAATGCAACTCGCCACCAAGGCTTTTCATTGCTGGAAAATTTCCAAAATGCAATTAAATCTTCTATTTTTCGAATATTATGTATTGCAACTACGGCTCAATCTATCTGTAACCAGAATTCATCTGATAGCAACATTCAGAAAAAGCAAAGGGGGTTTCGTTTTTGTGGCCGAACAGACAGAAAAAGACACAGAATTTGCGATGTTTTTTTGGTCGACGTTTCGTTTTTTGGAGATTTTTTCTAGGGATTATGGTCTCGGTTCAGAGGGAACCGTAAAAATTTGCAAATGTCAAGGGGACTTCGTTTAATGCATTTTCAACTAGCCACCTCATGCCGAGCCCCGATTGATATGACATCTTCTTCTAAGTTCTTGACTGCAAAAATGTGGAACTCACGCTTGTGTCCCTCCAATTTTCGACCACACCCGCAAACACAATCTGGAATGAACCATGTGTCGCATTCAGAAAATATTCGAAGACGATGTTTTCAATGATCTTTATTTTCAATGATCTTGAACTAAGTATACTTCTCTAGATTTTCTTTTCACAGTATATTACAGACGTTGTCAAAAACTAGAAGATTTATTATTATTCAAAAATTGTTATTACCTCACGTACTTTGTAGGGGCTCAAGAGCTGCTGGATAGTCGTAAATTGAGAATAGATAAGAGTTTAGATACATCACAAAAATCTAACGGTTCAAATTATAGAGCCTATCTAGATTTTGAGACAGTGCGGATAATTTCATTAGGAAATATCTTCAAGATTTTCTGAAGACATGAAGCAATTCTCGACTTATCGACTGATAGTGCCATGATATATGAGGAGAATTCACTCACCTTTGTGTCGCAAAAAAAGTATTACAACCAATAGTATCGAGAAGATAGCAGCGGCTAGCCACCATTCTGACCTTCTACAGTGGTCTCGTTTTATTGGCAAAGTTTGTGCAGCATTCGCCTTGTGGTCCTGCAAAATCTCATCTACATTCATGTCTCATCGGAACACGTGCGAATTTGATTGATAAACATCCTTTTTGATTACTTACATACTGATACTGGTAACTAGCATAGCCCCTGCCTCCATAAAGTATTATTGCCACACGTACTGTAGTTCAAATTACAGCGATGCCACAGAATGTCAAGTTTACCTGGGATTTAGTCTATTCTAATACTCGTCTCACAATCAAGTGCACAAGTAAAATTGCATGAGACTAGGCGCTAAACTGGAGGGTTCTCAAAGAAAACCACTGAGTATTTGTGAATCATTGTCGGGGTATAAAACTGCGAGCAAGAAACAAGGTTACATTATCGCTCAGTGATGTTACAGACAACAATTTGATGTAAAAGCATTTTTGAAGGAGGGAACTTGTCGCTAAACGAAGCTTGGCTATAATTTCAAAAAGATGATCGCTATCATTTTTTGAAAATCTCATAGCATAGATGTGCGAGGAGAACCGGTGGTCCATATATTGCTTAATGACAGAAGCTTCAGAAAAGTTTGAACTCAGATCAAATACCAAAAAGTCAAGAATTTCTCTTCCTCACACCCCTCATCCCTCCTCGCTTCTATTCTTTCAAACTTGCTCGGACTTCTCTGTACGACCTCCTTCTTTGCTTCGAAAAAAGTAGGAAATTTATTGGAAAAATCAAAACATCTTTAGCGGCATCTTTATCTTTTTTAGGTTTCGACGCAGCTTGATATGATCTACGCCGTTGACTAATTATGAAAGTTATAAATTGGGTTCTCAATTACCCGTCCGTCTACAGATAAGTCCAGACTTACAATTAGCTGATAGTCTTCGGACTATCTGACAAGATTTCAGGGTAGGTAATGGAATACTTTTCTATAGGACGGACTTATCTGAAGGGCCTTAATTAAAAAAACTTATCTGTAAGATTTTAGGATAAGCTCAAGAATTTCTACAAAAGCCATGAATTTATTGGAGAATTTTCTCAAGGTCTCAATCAACGTTTTAACAAGCATACGAAACTATTTCGGTACATTCTGCAGATATCTCGACCTTCACGAAGCCAGAGACTATTTTGACAAAAGTGTGGCGCATTTTTTCTAGATTTGATTAGTTTAGCTCTTCCCACATCTCGCCTCTATAGAAAACACTATGAAATGTTCGTGTCGTTGGTGGCAATGGAAAAGAAAGACCCACTTTGATAAGGTATGCTTTGGACACGTTTTCCTCGGTCTCAGAAGACGTAGGCTCGTAGAGATGACTCCGCACATCCTCGAATGATAATTAGTCACTACCGTTTCACAAGCATACTCGAAAAATCACCTCCGATTCCATCAAATCACTTTCAGATCGTAAATAACCTCTGATTCCAAGTAACGTAGCAGTGGAATGTTGTACGAGAAACAGCACGTGGCGCTAGCAAAAGTTCATTTGAGCACAAGCATAGAATTATCTGAAAAATTGTTCTAAAAATTTATCTGCAAATTGTAGAAAAAAATTATCATTGCTCTGTTACTTGGGCAAAAAAGAGGCTCTTGTTTTAGAGCGGAGAAGAGTAAACAGAAACAGAACTTTTGGAGCAATGTGCGCAGCCACAAGAGTTTTTTGGATTGTTACTTGCTGATGGTGGATTGAAGACATAACTGGGATCAACGACGGCGTAAAGTATCATATTGCTGACTAAGTTTTGCTAAAATTGCTGATTTTCATTAGTAGAAACGCTACGAACTTAAGAAACGACCTAATACAAAAAAAGCAATGAAAGTGGAGGCGGAAAGCACAAAGTGTTATGCAGTAAATAACTGATGATGAGTCAAGAGCAGATGTGGAAACTCAAAGTGCATGTCTTACGTTCCGTTATCTAACATAGAATGTTTGCAAGAACATAGGGTGACAGACACACTATGGCATCGATTGTTTGCAGTGCTGTAAATATGTACATGCACCCTGCATATGAATATCTCTTCAATGCTTTGCGAATATTGAAGAATTCAATAGAATCCTCTTAAAAACGCATAAGCAAACAAAAACAGGAATTTCAATGATCGGTAACAACGTGATTATTCCGGACCTCATTATGGATATTGGTTAATTCTCCATTTTTTCGGATTCAAGTACACATTCGTGGCAGAGTGTAAACAGCCCATTATCTAAAAAAATGCGCTCAAAATATTGAAGGCTTTGCAAAGTGAGAGACAATCAATGAGCCACTATCCGGTCCGTATCGACTGTCGTTTGGCTGCCATTGCGAACTTCACAACCATATGGCGCCTCGTGCTGCAATTTCTACACCCAAAAGGAAAGTCACAAATGGAGGAAGAAAACTGAGGAACCAGACTTTCACTATTACAGCTTGAAAAAATCGCGGCGAAAGAAGGGGACAATAACAGCGCTAAGCAAATTAGCTGTACATGGCTTTTGCACAAAGAGATTTTATAATTTTCCCCCTTCCAAGAATTCTTCATGGAATGGGGAAAATTATAAGGAACATAGTCGTGTCGTGCACCAAGAGTAAGTAATTAGACTAAACGATATTTGCCTCTCATTCATGTTAACTCATTGTTAGAAACCAGCCACCACAAAGACTTTTAGCTTGCTGAAACCTTTTTTCCGATTGTCCCAAACCCATACAAAAATTCTCGAACAAGAAGATGGGTCCCTTCTAGAACCTTCTACATCAAATGGGGTGCGTGCAACCTCTGAATTTTTGAATCCAACCAAATGCAGAGAATGCTTATAATGATTCTGCAACCAAACAAATGATGGGATCGCTAATTTAAAAAGTAGTCGAAAGCGGACAAAGTGGTGAGGGAAAGATTATTGTAAGGATGTGGAGGGAGAAGTTCAAGCAGCTCTACTAGCATACTGTTGCTGAAAGAAAGATCACATACTAAGATACTGAAGGTAGAGCGAACATTCAAATGCTATCTTGAAGAGCTTGCTTTGCTTCACCGAACGGACAAACCTGCATCTCGATTAGCATCTAAAAAGTGTACGATTTACTGCGATAAGTTAAAAATGAAAAGACTCATGAGACATCCTGGTGAACAGTCTGTCCCAATCGGGATTAGGCCGATCCGCTGGCGATTTGCGCGCTCGCAACGCTAGGGGATTGCGCTGCTGGCGCTGTCGAGAAAACAAAGAGAGTGGCAAACAAGCAGACGGCAGATGGGACGCAAAACCTTAGCGACGCGGACTCTCGCCATGCCTATTTCGGCCTGATTAGAACTGGAACAGACTATAACCAGAGTTTCTGGAAGCGATTTAGACTAGTTAGTATTCTGGCCGTGCTCGCTAGTTTGCTATCGATAATGACTTTGGAGTAGTAAGGCGTAGGTGAAAGCAGCCAAACTCTTCGACTGCACGGGAAAATCCAATTCGGAATAACCATTCCAAACATTCGAAATCAATGTGAGGTTAATACAGGGTTAGGGGAAAGTCTTTGAACACGGTATTTTTATCGTAATGACGAAGCTAGGCAAGGTGATTACATGAAATCAATAGGTAGTGTTTACTCAACTGTGTGCTACATAAAATAGTCTTTACAATTCGAAGATTCCTTCTTTGCCGCGAATACAAGCTCGAAATCGCTTGAGGACGCTGTCCATCGTGGCACGGAGGTACTCCACGTCGACTTCCTCCCACGCATTCTGAAGAGCACGTCGCAGAGACTCCACAGTCTTGCATGAGTGAGCGCAGGATTGGCCTAAAGGACTGACTATTTGCGGTAATCAAGGGTATTCAGTTCCGGCCAATACGGAGGCCATTCCACAGGAGTAATGAAGTCCTTAACGTTGCTTTGAAGCCATGCTTGAACAATCTTCACTTAGTGCGCAGGGCGCTATTCTGCTGTGAGCACCAATCGCTCCCAGCAAATGGGTATTGGTCCAGGCCAACAACTCCTTCTTCAGGATGCTATTCACATGCGTGGCAATGTCTACCTTGAGCACTGTGACCTCAAAAATTAGCGGCATTTTGCTGTCGGAAGCGACCGTCGCGCAAATTGTCACAAAAACCGGATGAAGCTTTCCTTCTGCAATCAATCCTTGCTATCGGCTTCCTGAGGCGTTAAGGTGATGACTCTGTTGTTTTGGCGATCAGAAACCTGCTTCACGGTGAAAATTTTGACGTCAGAAAATTATGTGTTTGGTGGCGTGCCGGATAGGCGTTTAGGCATTCGATGGCATCCGCGCAGTCAAATCAGCTTCGTTTCTTCCCAAAAGCGTGAATTATTAGTATCTTGAAAAGCTTCATCCCAAGGCCTTGTTCCACGATGTCGGAGACCTTTCTACCAGAGATGAACAGCTTTGAACCCAGCTCAGCCAAGCTTCTCCGAGGATTGCGACTATGGCGCTGGAACAATCTTCAGAATTTTGTGAGTGTGCGCAGTAGCCAACTTATCACTCGTACAACAGTTCTGGGTGCTGTTCATATCCTGGAAACGATGCAAGGTGGAAAAGACGCTGATTCGCAAAGCTTGGAGAACCCGCGCAATCTGCTGGTTAGCCATCCTTTCTTCTTGCATCTTCGCCACCAACGCTCGCTCCGTTCCAGAAGGCATATCCTCGACAGAAATAAAGCTAATATTCCAGTTTTTGCAGAACTTGTAAATAAGGGTATAAGAAGCAAATACATATAATTAGTATGCAAGAATATGTGGAAAATCCGAACATACAATGACATCAAACATTATTCAAAGACTTTCCCCCAACCTTGTACATTCCTGCTGATATTTCGACCCATTTGAAAATGCATGGTCGCGAATAAAATAAATAAAGGGTACGACTATTTATTCAGCAAAGTAATATGGCCATGTTTTTTGTTTTGATACAAAGCACAAGTACCACCTTTGGAGGTGCCGTTCATCAAAACTGAGGGTGAAATGCTTATGAGACAGTACAATAACGGATTCCTTGACTAAGTAAACCCCCAAAAAGATAAATTTTTAAGCGAGTAACTTGCTCTAAAATGTAAAAGCAGAGGTAGTCGCTTGCCCATCATTGGGATACTTTGAAGATTCCATTTCCGAAATACGCCTAATTCTGTCCAAGATTGCGAAGCATTTGAATTCTAGTAACGTAATCTTGACAGATAGATGCAATAGACCCAATCTTTCACTTGCTATACTGCCCACAATGAACGGGGTAACCATCTCCTCTTCTGCCATTTCGAGCATTTTCTCGCTTCGGAAATCATTTTTTGTAGCGAGAGTTTAGCTTATACTCACTTAAAGGCACAGCTGTTTGTATGGCACCGTAATCTCGTCGTCCGTACTTTGGTGGAAGGCGCCTACAACTCCATGTAGGCTTTATAAGAGTACGAAATGAATAATGATACAATTCGATGCAGAGAACGCGGTTAAATTTTTCCAGAGTTTTCTAATGCGGTTAACTTCGATCGGTCTTCGAGGAAAGTTTAGGCATGTTTTCAAGGTCTCTAATCTCAATGTAATGCAATTTTTGAAGATTTTTAGTGCGCGTGATTGCACGCCCCAAAGACATTTGCATAATCCTTTGCAGCCGGAGGTTGTTATTATTTGTCTATCAATGCCTCTTGGAAACTACACAAAAATCCGGTGCATGAAATTGTATTCCACCGAACACAAATTGTCTCAGTCACGGTAGAATCCCACCATTCCGAGCAATTTTTTGCCATTTTCACCACGCCAATGCACCTTCTCTAATGTTACCGCGTGTATCAAGTATTGTATTACTTATCTCGAAGGGGCATTATACTACTGAAATAACCAAAACCCGTATCAGAAGAACTTTAACGATTCGATTCTTATTCTAACGTTTTTCTCTGAAAATCAATACATGACACGTGCGATTGCTCGAGCTCTGGTTGTTTTTGCTGATCGGTTTTTTGAAAGCGAATAGTCAAATTTGCAATACTCTGGAGTTACGAATTTACTGAAAATCACAGTCAGTCATTTCTGACCAGGCAAGACTCGTTTCGACATATCCTGAGAAATCAAAGCTATGATATTTGGATAGTCCTTTTTATGACCGGCTTGAAATGTTGGAAGTGAGAAATTTGACCCCTTGCACACATGCGATTTGGAATGATGCCTTTGTTAATAATGTATCTACCAAAGATATCAATTGACTTCATTGATTTATTGATTCTTTTTTGTGTTTTTTGCACAACATTTGTACAACTGAAAAATGTTCATAAGAAGTCATGAGACTGGAATCAAACTTTGCAAACATCTGCGGGCGGGTGGATGTTTTGAACTTTGGAATTATCAACTACTGATTTTTTTTGCAGACGCTCTAAATTGTTGCAGATTTGCAGAACTAAATGAGCATGATGATTACCAATAAACCATCTACCATTTAATTGGTTAATTCCCTCTCTTTTCATGTTTCAGCGATTTTTTTGTACTTTTCCAATGAGCTTCAAATCAGTGCACGAGGATATGTTCATGTGTTGATCAACATATAATCTCATGCTAA